CTTTCTCCTGCCCCCTTCCCCCCACCCCCAAAGGCCTTCTTTCTTTTACTATTTGTTGAGTTGGAATGTAAGTCTATTATGGTTTTTATATCTGTATAATATGGTAGTAATCTTCTCCACCTGAGTATTCTGCAAGCACCTTTGATACTAAAGTATGTTATTCTTGAATGCAGGAGTTAATTTTTTCATGAGGATATTTGCTGAACTAATGGAAAAGCTGGAATAGGTGCAGTGAATCCATTGTCTTAGCAATGCATTCAGTCTCAAGCAGTGAAAAGTCATTAATGTATTCACAGTTATTAAGTAATTAGATTTCTAGAGCTTTTTTTTTTTTTTTCCGCAGAATCAAATAGCCCATGATATATTGGTCACAAAACAGAAGTAGAGTTAAAAAAATCCAAGATAAACACAAGCATTTTGAACAATGTATTTTAAGTTTGTGAAGTGTGTAGTACATAAAGCTGCATAGTCTTGGGTTATTTAATTAACAAAAGTCCATAAGGATACACCTTTGTATTGTAAATTTTACACAGATAATTTCATTCAGAGGACCAAACAGAGATATAACAACACACGTTCTTTGTCAACAAAGATGAATCTTGCCGACATGCAGACAGAAATCAAACTGAGACCACCTTACCAAATTTCCGTGTCAGAACTTGGTTCAGCTAATGGGTTCTCACATTTATCAGTGGCAGAATATAAGGGTACTGGTAAGATTTCTGCAGGTAAGTCTCAAACTTCTATTTTTGCATCCTTAAATTAGACAGATGCAGGGTAGTAGAATTAATCATTGATTTTTTTTTTCTTTAAAAAAAGCTTTTCCACTGTGCTGTTCTTAAAGCATAAAGCTGTCATGACCTTATGTTTGTCCTCTGCTTAAAGTGTCTGTCTTCCCAAGGCACTCAGAGAGAGAAATGGATCTATTCAATGGACTTCCTTATTGAAGGGAAAAAAATAAATCGGCATGAAAATAAGCAAATGAAGATGATATTTTTTCTTTCTTTTTCTGACCTTTTAAGATTTATGAAAATGTTTATTATTTCTGCCCAGTACGACCCAATGATGACATAAATGAGGAGCAGAATGTCAGGAGTTAGAGCAGCTAGAGGGAGAAGCATCACTTTAGGAAGCATCTGTCATGGTGAAAATACAAAGAGCTATGCTGGCTAAAAGATGCACTCTCTAAGTGCCTTGTGTATGATAATAATAATAATAATAGCAATTTTGTATATACTTGCCACATTCATTTAAATAGTCATTAATTAAAATGTGAAAGGACCATTTCCCTTTTTACTGTAAAATAAAATTCAGCAGTAATTTGCAGGTCATATTCCATTTTTTTAACTATTCTCCACAACTTGTCTTACAGAGGCAGTTCTGTTGTCCACTTTTCTTTCCATGTCGACTTTCTTCTGGTTTTTTTCCCCCCTCTATCAGTTCCTTTTAACTTTCTTCTTCCTCTGAATTCCATAGATCTCTGTTCAGTTGTCCACTTTCTTTCCTGAACTCCTGTAGGAACTCAGCATCAAAGGGCTGTACATTATGAGAGGTTTGCACTTTGCTCCTTCTTCAGCTCTTCAAATTTTAGATGGTATTGAATAACAGTCTTTTTTAGCAAGTCCGCTAATAGTTTTGTAATTCTTTACATGCATCGCTTCTCTCCACCCTTGAAAAGAACTTTCTCTGGATGTGTGCTGCCCACTCAGTTGGCTAGGCTTCAAAGTTTCTCCTTTGCTCTGAGGACAAATTCTCACAAAACAGGATAGTATGCCCAGTGTATTTTCCTGAATATGCTGTCCTGATAAAAAATACTACTTGCCGTAAGTGAATTAAATATCTGCAATCAAGTTGGATAGGATGCGGAGGCAGAAAGTTTGGTAGATGCAAATCTTGTTTTGTTCTATGGAATGGCAGAGTAGGCTGCCTTAGTTTTGTCTGTGCTGATGAAGCACTGTCTGCTGCTTGCTTATATATTGGATGCATATCCAGGGTCTGGTGTCTAGGCCTCTTGTATTAAACTGCTTGAAAATTTCATCCCTTTTCCTTTAGTCAAAGTTGTGCTCTGAGGAACAGGGGTACTTGTTAGTGTGTGAAACATAAGTTGTGTAGATTATGAATAGAATTTTTCTTCAAAGGTGAATGTAGATGTTGGCAGACATTGGAAGTGGGGTGACATCGTGTTGATGTGTGATGTTTTAGGCTAGGATAAATTTACTGTTTTCTGAGCCTTTTTTCGATGCAGGAATAGTTGTCAAATCAAAGTTGCTTTTTGTCTGATGGTGTACTCAGTGTGGGCTTTTTTTACATTTTATTTTTAAATAGATGTCCTTGTAAGTAGTGCGGTTTCTCACATCATGTAAATTTCCTGAATTTTTATTTAAATGCCAACATTTTAATTCAGAGTTTGTGCTTTATTTGATCCTTGGCTTGTGTTAGAGAGTTTATGATGTGGCAGTTATCATATTTCTAAGATTCATGGATGTACAGACTCAAGGTCAGCTGTCCTTTGCCATGCCTTCATTGAGATTCCTCCTTTATTCTTCTGGTTTTGCCTTTATTTTTTCATATTTAAATGGCACTTGTTGCTTTGATTGTACCAGTAAAATTTATTAAGCCCTGGAGAGGTAGAGCATCAGCAGTATGCAGTGTCCTTTGAAGTTTTTTGATTTGTTGTCATATTTCAATAAGAGAGAAAAGTTAGTATTTTATGATGCTTCATAGACTGTCTTGATTTAGCTGACAGGACTCTTTTTACTTTTCCCCTAATAGTTCTCAAAGAGGTGGTTTAAGTACTGTTTTAACACGTGATGTTTTAATGTTACCCTGATGCATGGGGAAAATGAGATTGTCTGGAGAGCTGTGCATGGAGAGCAGTGAACTCATTTTATCCACTAGGTAATGAAATGCAATTACTTTTGGCTAAAATCAGTCACATGCTCCTTCAGCTTTTTGCCACTCTCCAGATGAGATTGCTTAAAAAAAATCAAACCAAAACCAGTCACTGAAAAAGATGGTTTAGTGTACAAACAACGTATCTAACCTTAACTGAGCTATTGCTGGTAGAATTCCTCTAATATGGAGTAAGGCAAGCAATAAGCTCTGAAGTTAAGCATGGGTTATGCTTTTGTTTTAAAAAAACCTGAACCAATTGCACTATTAAATTCAGCACAAATGAGTTAACTAAACTAATTTTGTGGTTTATTTTCAAGTTATCACACACTCATAATTAGACAGCCCTGTCTGCTTATCATCATGAAATAGCTTTTGTCGTTTTTTTCTTTACGTCCTGTAACTTCATAAAGTGTTTGGCAAGCCTTTTTCCTGGATCCGTGCGATGCAAACAACTGGGATTGACACCCCTCTCTCTACTAATGCTACAGTTCATTAACCTCATTGTTCACATCCTTACACTTCGTTGATTTGAACAAAATGATTTAAGTATGGCTCAGTAATCCTATTGTTTTCCCAGTGTTGCCAGATTCTTAGGAGTTTTGCATTGTTTTTTCATATTTGCTTTCTGTTATTAATTATGGAAGGGGACAGTAATGAGGAACATACATAACTGTTACATACTTATGACCCTAGATAAGCCCAAAAGAGTGGGTGTGCATGGAAAAAAGCATGTTTTAATTTTAATGTGTTTTGTAAGAGACTTCTAAACACTATTGGCAAAGTTTGCATAAAGTTGTAATACAGATACTAGCTTAGCTTAAGAACGGCCTTTTTATTTGTGTCCTGGCTGTTTTTAAGGTAGGAGACTGTAACAGCTTTGCCTCATAGTGTTCTGTTCAGCAAACAAGCTAAATCTGTCTCAGTAGCTCTGCTAATGCATTAGGGGTAAAGAAAAGTGGAGGTTGTGAAAGGAGCTCTTAAGTACGTGACTTATTAGCTGGCTGCTAATTGTGGACAAATTTCACTAGCAAGTGCATCATTTGCCATTGATTTCCTGACGTGTTTGAGCAGCTCTCAGAGCCATACTGAATACACTGAATGGATTGAGTTAAAGACTAAATATAATAAGGCAATTATGTATGTGAATTGAAGGAAGGTACACTTTTTGTTAAACCTTATGCTGAAATGTTTTAAATGTTCCCTTTTTAAAAAAAAAAAAGTTGACATTCGGAGGTTTGTGTCAGTGATCTCTTATTGAGTTAGAAGTCACTGTAAAATGAGATTACTAAATTTTCTGAAGGCATTGCTTTGGCCTTTGATACCTTTTTTTGATCATCTTCTTTGCAGCTCCTCATCAGCGCCTGGAACCTGTGACTCTGCCAGGGATTGTCTCATTTGTGCTTAGTCTGTTGTGTGGGGCTTTGAATTTAATTCGTGGCTTTCATGCCATAGAAAGTCTTCTTCAGGTACTGTACATGTCTACGAATTTAAGAGTTACGCGTCGTAGCAATCATAATTTCACCTTATAAGACACTTGCTACATGAACTCAGTCTTGCCAGTTTTATGTTCAGAGATGCTTTCTGTGAGGTCAGACCTCTGTTTATGAAACGTATAATGCTTGTGATTTGTGCATCCTTCCTGAGTGTGAGGCAGCATTCATTGAGGCCGTGAGTCTCCAAAGCAGTAGAAGGTGGGTGGCTGACTCCTTCCCTAGGTACCTTGGTAGCAGGGACTATGTGAACATCATGTTCTGTTTTCTAAATTTATGCCAGGATATGAGACGTTTAATTTTAATAGATGTTATTTAAAAACACTTGACAGAAATGATGAACAGCTTTGAAAATCTGGCCATTTTTTTTGAAAGGTCCACAGAGCAGGGATCTTCAAACAGGTTTTGTGAAATTTTTTTTTGAGACGCCTTTTTTAGTTCTTTTTTGGTTTAATAAACCTTCTTAAGTAGGATGATAATGTTTGAGGTGTCAGCATTTCCTAAAGACAAATGAAAAAATGAGCACGGTTAATGAAAGTGTTCCATGCTAGATCCTTCTTTTGCGTTGTTTTTTGATTATTTTTTAAAGAAAAACCAAGAACCATACACCTCTGCCTGATCCCTAATCTGCGTCATGCAGACATGTCCCTGCCCATGACAGGGGCATTAGATTAGATGGTCTCTGAAGTCTCTTCCAGCCTAAGCCATTCTGTGATTCTGTGCACAATTCTCTCACTGTATAAATAGGAACAAATTTAAAATACACTGTAATAAAAGTAGTACTGAACAGATTTCTACCACTTAGTGTGTTTCTAGAGCTTGTTTTGTTACCTTTCCGCAGCTGATTTTTTAAAAAGGAATGCCAATGTTAGATTAACCTGTTGAAGAGATGACAGGGCAGCCAATTAATTCTGTTCTACATGTTATTGCATCTGGAGGTGATAGATAGCAGTACAGATGGAAGATGTATTTTAATTTCTGGCAAATGAGGTACACTAAAAATCCGTTAAGGTTTCTCTCAGTTTACTTTATTATGCAAAAATCCACAGAGTTTAGGGTGAAATAATCCAAAGCGTTATTAATGGAACTTCGAGAAGTTGTTCAAAAGCTTCTCTCTGAGCAAAGTCTTTCCTTTGAAATCAGTGTTTTTATTTGGGTGCAAGCAAAACTGTGTTACAGTCCCAGCAAATGCAGTGGTGGCAAAGATTGACATACAGAGCAGGAGTTCCCTGCGATGTGTTGGTAAGTTTTCTCTGCAGACATGCAGACATTTTCCTAGCTAGCACTGGAGGTGGAAATGCTTCACACTGAACGTACTCTGAGCAGAAACAAGTTGTAGTTCCGAATGGACTGCAGTCTTCTCACAGTGATATTCCCATTCAGGGAAGAACCTTTGCATGAGTACTCGTCGTTTTCCTGGGAAGGTTTTCGATTGTTGCAGGTGTTTGTTTGAAATGTAGCTAGAAAAATCACTGAACATGAAAATTTATTCTGCTCAGATCTGTAGAAACTGTGACAACCTGTTGGAGTAAGTTAGAAGGAAATTTGGTTTGTTTTTTAAACACATAGTGCAAAGATCTGTCATTCGAGGAAATTTTCCTATCTTTTCCTTCAAGACAACTTACTTTTCCAGTAATTTCTCTCTGATAAATTGATGTGCTTTTGATTGCTCTCACTGCCGTTGGAGACAGAGCTGCCTGCATTCCTCTGGATGTGGAATTTTACCACACCCTGGTGGCCAGTTCTGTCTCTTCCTTCTATCACGTTCCCATTTTGTGAAGCTGGAAGAAGGCACAATTCTACAAAGTTGATATTAAAGGTTAGACTTGACTTTACAAAGGTACCTGGAGAAGGTAAGTATCCAGGGTTAGAGCTGGAATTCCTTTAAGGCTTCTGAAAATCTCAGTATTAGTTGTCTGTTTTGAATAAACATTTTGGGAAGGTTCCAGATCTCTGTGCATTATTTTCCCAGACTTACAAGTAAGTGATGATTAGTGCTAACTCTTCTGGCTTAGCGTAGTGTGAAAATGATTATAAATCTCCATGTAAGACTGTTTTAACATAAAATCATTAATAACTTTCATATTGTAAATACCTAGTATTTCATGGAAACATTGTAAAACATGACTTTTTGTTTTATTTTCACAGAATGAAGGTGAAGATTTCAGCTATGTTATTGCATTTTTTCTTGGAACAGCAGCCTGTTTGTACCAGGTGTGTTCTTCTGCTTACATAATTACTTACAGTTTAGAAACATCATCCAGTCATGCATAAATGCCATCATGTTTTCTTAAGTGTCACAGATACTTGAATAAGGCAATTATATAAATAATTTCTGCTCAGTTTTGTTTCATTAATCATAAACTGTCATACAGTAGATTGATACAAAGAGCTTCTGTTGCTGGCATTTTTCCTTATTTAGTTGATTAAGAGATTTGGCATACTTTTCTGCCTGGAGCTTACAATTTATCTCTAAGTCCCAAGCAGTGGAGTTTATATGATTTCCTTAAAGTAGTAGTTTCATAGTTCAAGTAAACTTAACCATTTGAACAAATGCTTTAGTGCTTCCTTCCTTTGGGATGATTTGAAGTAATTACAGTAATCCTAGGCACTACACCCGAGAACTTCCCTCACTTCGTACATTATTGGGCATCTCCTTCCTTTTCAAAGCTTTCAGCTGCTTTTCACTATGTTTTCTTTCTCCTTCTTTTTCCACACCAACAATCTGTTCCATATCAGATAAGGTGAAGCTCCTCCATTGTTTTATTTTTGCGTGAAAAATACCTATTTTTCCCTCTTCTCCCAGGTTAGAAACCTTATTCTTTGTAGAGTATTCATGTCAGTGCATTGAGACATAAGGGCATATGTTTCCCTCCCACTTGAATAGAGCTGGTCTAAAGAAAGAATCCTTGAAACTTGGAATGTCAGACTTTTCTTAATATTCAAAATAGAGTTTTTGAGATTCTTGTTCTGCACCCTCTGGTGTCATTCCTACAAAATCTTATTGGTCAGAACTAAGAGGGCTGTCAGCTCTCTGGCATGTTCTGATGTTCTTTTGCCCTGCTGAGGAGGAGTTCAGGAGATTAATTCTGTATGTTGCATGACAGCATATTTCATTGTTATTCACTTACGAGGCATCCATAATGCTGTTATTGTGTTCTTCATGCTGTCATGCAACATACAGAATTTCATTGTTATTCACTTATGAGGCATCCATAATGCTGTTATTGTGTTCTTCACTTAATAACAACATAGAAGCATTTCTCTCTTTCTAGTTTCCAGGAAAGTATTTGTAGCCTAGGTGTGCAGGCAAAAACCAGGACTTAGATGGAATATGATGTTTTAGGCTCACTGATGTGTCTAGTGTTCCTCCATGGTTTCTGATCTCTTCTGAAGAAGAAAATGTACAGAAGTATCCACTTTCTCAGTTGTACCATAAATGCAAAGTGTCAGGAGCTGAGCCTTCAGTTATTTCTTAATGTTTATTAAAACCTTCTGCATAAAAGCATGCTCATATGTACGTTACTGCCATACTGTCACTTCCTTTAATAGAATTAAAAAAAAGCACCTCAGCAATTTCCTAACAGCACTTGTTTTAGTGAGGTGGTAAACCACAGTGTTCTGGCCTTTTGACTGGTGTCTGTTTTGTAAGAGGCAAATGTTCTAGCATCTCAGACCTAGAGTGATGAAAACATAAGCCTCTGAATTAATTTAAAACACATCTTCAGTAAAATTCACAGTCATTTAACATCATGTTGCAGTTACATTCTGAAACTTCTATAGTACTTTTGTTTTATAAACCATACGTATCAGTCATTTTTATGAAGGATATTCTGACTTATTTTAATCTTGGAAGCAGTTACACTTCTTCATATGTTGTCAGTGGAGGTGATGACACTAGGGAATTATCTTAGTTCTTACTGTTGAGATACTAGTACCAATTAATTGCTCTTTTAGATATGATTTGTAAAACTTGCAGCATAAGTAGGTTGCATTTGCTCCGCTCGAAATGGCCAGGCAGATTCAGAGGAATTCCATCTAGATTCTGAAGCACACAGATTGCTTATCTCCAATTTTACTTTGCTTTGGAAGAGGGACATACAAATTTTACTGATGCTGTCGATCTTCACATCTCTGAAAATATTTAGATATCCAGAAATTACAGGTAGTTTTGTTAGTCTGAGTCGCTGCATGCTTTCTGAGGAAGTGGTTCAGTTTTGAATAGAATATAAAGTAACCTCAATAAATTGCATTGGGCGGTTGCAAATGTACAATGCTTTGGCCCTTTACAGAGGAACATGAAAAGTGAAAAGAAGTTCAGTAGCGTTTCTCTGACTGATAAAATATGGCAAATGCATAAGAAGAATGGAAATAACGCTTAAGAGAGTCTGATGAGGGCTTCTGTTAAAAAATACTGTGTGAGCATCATGATATATCCATTGGGAGCAGATTTGGATTACAAAGTAAGCCCAAGTGATACTGTACCTTACTTGAAGCACAGCAAAAACTTTCTTCAGCAGACAGAAATGGCCGCAATCCAGAGGAGGGGCAAACAATTTTTTTTGTGGAAGTCAAGAAAGTAGTTTCAACACTAGCAGGAGTAAAAATCATGTCTGTGTAAAAGCTCTGCCCTTTTAGAGATGAAAACTGAGGCGAGAGATGGGAGCAGGTTTCCATTTGCAGTAGGAAGAAGGCAGATTAGGGAACCGTGGGCAGTCCTGACGTGCTGTGTTACACCGCACCGTGCAGGAAACCGCCCTTAAAATGTGGGAGAATTACAGTAGAGTTGTGTGTTTCTCTCCAAACGTGATCCATCCTGCACGAGCTGAAGAAGGGGCAATGGGTGTTTGTGGGCCTCTCCGGATCGCCCAGTTACTCCTCTGCGTTAGCCCCGGCAGGACACGGGGTTGGTACCTGAGGGATTGCCTCGTGCCACAGGGCCCTGGGATTCTCCCTGTCCTTCCCATGGCTTTGCCAGAAGAAGACACTGGCTCTTGTTCCTTCTCCATTGCTTGGGTGGAACAGCATGTATTTTGACCAGAGATTGCCAGGAACATGCACTTTCCTTTGTCAAAGGCCACTCATTATTGCAGGCTGTAATCAATTATTACGAAAGAATTGTTTTAAAAGGAATTTAATGGAAATTAAATGTTACCGTGTGTTGTTGTCAGATCCTTTTCACCCTTCCATGACTGCTAAATTGACACTATTCTTATGTGTTTGATTTAGACTTTTTACTTGTTTGGGAAAATTTTGAATGTAATTTCTCAGTGACCAGAGAGTGTTTCTTCAGTGTAAGATGCTTTCTGTGCAATAATCTGATTTCTTTTTCATTTCCTGACAGTGTTACCTGTTTGTATACTACACAGGCTGGAGGAATGCCAAATCCTTCCTAACTTTTGGGTTAATTTGCCTGTGTAACATGTATCTGTACGAACTGCGCAACCTGTGGCAGCTCTTCTTCCATGTGACTGTGGGAGCGTTTTCTACCTTACAAATTCGGCTGCGACAACCGCAGGGAAAGGCCCCCGATTACAATGTCTGACGAGTCCTGGAACACTTAGAGGCAGTCTTGTTCAACAGTTATTCACTCTCAGGAATGTAAAGCTATTCTCCAATAGAAGAAACTGTCTGGATGGGGCTTTTTTGTGGTTGTTTTTTTTTTTTTTAAATAAAACAATGTAAGATGCCTGTGGACATTTTTCATTTGATGCTTAAATTTTTTTTTTTTTTAAGAAGGACACAAAAGAATATGGGATTATACGATGAAAATGGGTCATATCCTTGCAGTGAAATGTGTGTAAGGACACCAAGTTTAGGGAATTTTGACTGGTGGCATAAAAAAAAACTTCATTCAAAAGTATGTTAATGGAAGGAATGTATAGGATATGTCTTCTGCATATCATGCAAGCGCTACTCTTCCAAAATCAGTTTTGCCTTTGTAAGGCAGTAGGGAATAGGCTAAATAATAATAATATTAATAATAATAATGCTATTGCATATTAGCAAATTAGATTTGGAATACGTATGATACTAAATTTTTGAATGTTTTGTTTCACATTGACATATATATGAATGTTTTCTTAATTAAAATGTAACCTGGAGACTCTGTTTCTGGAGATCAGCTTTATGCCACTAGTGGCCCTCTGTCTAGTGCTATAAATGCTTAAACTCTTTTTTCATTTATGCTTTTCATTTAGTTATCCTTTGAAAGTGATCTGTGTGGACAGGGCTTCTTTTAATAATTATTCAGAAAGTTTTGCCACTTAACCCTGGTTTTTTGCACGCTTCCTGTGTTTGAACTCTGCAAAGGTTGAAAGGAAAAATGCATTGGTGAGTAAGTGGAGTGACTTGTACTTGTTGGACTGTTGTTGTTCTTTTTATATACTTGTAGAAATGGATGAATAATTAGATCAAACCTGAGATAAACAACCAGTGGTAGGAAAATAATAAATCGGTCTTATTAGCTTAAACAAGAAAAGATGAGGGACATTCTTTGTTCTTTATGGCTTTATGGGTTGGGTGGTTTTTTGCTGGCATAGAACCTCCTTGATCTAGACTTGTGTTTGAGAGAACTGTTGCATATGCCTGGAGCTGGGAGATAAACTAGCAAACCCCAAACATGTAGAAAATAGAACAGCGATCACATAGTACTAACATCAGTTATACTGTTGGTTTTTTCTACAATTATATGACAGTTGTTTATGATGTTTTGTAGTGTGTAAGTAGATACAGATAGATTTTTATGTGACCTGGAATAATTTAAGGGTTCACTGAAATGCAGATATTAAAAAAAACAAAAGAGGAAAAAAAGCAAGCTTTAGTGGCAGGGAGGTTGCCATGCTGCTTGTGGTGCTGGGTTTGGGGACTGGCAGAGCTTTGCTGTGCTGTGAAGTCTTTCTCCAGACTTCTTTGGGCACTTCATACCAAAATGTTACATGTTCCAGTAAGTTATTTAGCATCAGATTTGACCCAGAAGAAAGAAGCTAGTTACTTTTTAAGAAGGTGGTGTTAGTCAAGAAGATTATGCATTGTAATCCAAAGTAGACAGAATGATATGTGTTATATTGTTAATGTGTGTCTCAGACTGGTGTCTGAGATCAAGACCTTGGACATGCCTTGGTGTGCAGCGTGAAACGTGCTGCTGGAGGTGTGTGCTTGGCTCTTCATGCTCTTCCCGCCCCACTTCGGGACAGAGAAGAAAGAAAGAATGCATTCATGAACATGATCTGCTTTTTTTTTGAGGGGGGGATGGGAACCAGAAGATGGGGGAAAGATGAAGAGGAGAATGGGATTGAAGCATACAAGAATTTTAGGAAATGTCTACACCACGAATATTACAAAGAAATCCAGAAGAAGAGCAAACAGCCTTTGTTTAGCACTGAGAAGTTTGCTTGTTTTAGCATTCAGTGCACCTTTTGGTACTCTGGGCACCAGAGAAGGTGAGAAGCAGTCCTTTACCATGTTAATACAATACTTGAAAAATACAGCTATTCAAATTTTAAGTGTAAAACTAGTTTTTATCTTGCTTATAAAGTCTAGAAGTGTTGTTAAACTTTTCACTTCTCCATTGATAGGTGGGGAGGCTGTTATGAATGCCTGAAGCACTGCTTAGTTTTTAACTCAGGCTGTTGTGCATGTGAAGAATTTTCAGTTGCATCATTTCTTCAGTTTATACATTGGCAGAGAATCTTGTTTTCTTTGAGGCACCTTCACTTCCTGCTGTTCTGAAAGATGCGTTTTTAAGGAATGAAAACTTTCTTTGTCATAGCATCTGGAGCCATTATTCAAATCCAGTTTTGCTGGCATTAAACTAATTGCTGATTAGCAGGTATAATGAACAAATGCAACTGTCGCTGTAGTAGAAGACAGTTGGGGTTTTGTTTGCTTGTTTTTACGGCACTATTAAAAATCCCATTTCACAATGAAAAGTTAATGAGCTTGACTGTTCTTCATTACTTGATATTACTAGGTGCCAGAAACATGGCTTTTCAACATGCTGCTTTAGTTTGACTAATATTAGAATGTGCTGAAATTTTGGATGAGGTGAAAAAACAGGCCAAGTTGGAGGTGAAAATTTACCGAAAATTCCTGGGATTTCTCATTTGCTTACACAAACTTGGCATTCAGAGAAATACTAAGTGCTTCCCTGCTGATTTTACCCGATACTTGAGTTATTAGACTTACGAAGATGAAATTAGGAAAGATGTACTTTGTTGAGGAGCATTTGTTATTTTAGATTGAATTTCACAACACCATTCATAGCTGCTTGATTTTCTGTGGGATTTAGTAGAAGCAGAGTCCACTTGGTGCTGTAAAGTAAGCGCTCTTTAAGGTTGGAATGGGTCCATCCAGCACCTACAATACCATGTTTTTCTTTGAATAAGGTGTCACTGTTTGCTTTCACTTTCGGGAAGGGATGGCTGAAAGTTTGATGGACTTCACAGGGTATATGTGATGCTATTTGAGGTTTGATTACCTCAGAGTCTCTTATTTGAGCTTCTAGAGATTTAATCACATTCTTGCATTTTTTTTTTTTTTGGTATCTGAGGTCTGTGCTCTTGTATTTGATGTCTGGGCCAAGAACTGGGGATGAGAACTTGTCTCGTTTGTGCATTGTCAGATATTGCTTTTCAGACCTGCAAAAATGTGTACACTTACTCTCTTTTCACACTATTTCACGGAAGACTAACACACGTATATAAGATATATAAGAATATGTCTAGAGAGAGAGGTGTAGAGAGGCACTCAGCCTTCCAATATATGTATGTGTTAGTTTGGTTGATTTTTAGCTAGCAGAGAAGTAGATTATGATGGAAGCTGGTTTTCTTTGCAGACATCGCGATTACTTAGCATTCACTGGGGATTCTTTACTGTGTTGATAGCCTCTTTATCAAAGGACTGAGGAGCATCTGTTTAGCAATATTACCTTTCAGCCTCCTGCCTTTCATTCTGTGTTTCCACTGCAAGTAGTGTGGTATGACTGGGTTTTGCATTCATGGTTTGTATTGAAAAAAGCCCATTAATGTGTGCAAACTAAGCACATCCTATTTTGAATCAGGTTTTTGTCAGAATAAATAGCTTTCTAGATTTGTGTTGTGGCTTGCAAAAATCCATGCTGTCTGAATGGTGTTAATATAAAGGGGTGTATTACAGGAGGGGTTTTCCCCTCATTGGAGGTGCTTGACTGAGAAGGGTCACAGTGAGGGGGAGGGTCTGCTCCAGTGGCAGTTGCAGGCCTGTGGTGACGAGTCCAGCTGATCTCTCAGCTGCAGGCTGAAGAAGCCTGGAGCTTCTGTCCGTGTGTGCAATTGCAGTCATAGCTGATCAGATATTCCAGGTACTGTTTATTTTGGTAAGGCCAATGGTCTCACTGTCTGTAACAGCTTCTTAACAAAACTGTGGTTCATCAGTTTTGTTGATCAGAGTGTTTGCTAATGGACTTCACAGAGCACTGTACAGCCCCATTTGCTATCCTGCTTTATAGACCTATCCATCCAAAAGCTGGTCAGACCCTCTAGAGCGTACATGGAGTCTTTGCTTTCCTGAATAGCGTTTCTTTCCTTCTCAGATGCAAAGCTGGTAACAGATTGATCCTGGCTTTGGTGCTACTCAAGGGTCGCAGTGCCAGATTTGGCTGCTAGAGACCAGGCATTTTATGATTCCTGTTGGAACTTGGGCTGCACCATGCAAGAAGTTTGCTGTTGGGCGGGGAGGCTTCCTCGGGGCCCTTCCGGGGGCACCCTCATAGCAGCAGCGGGTCCTTCTTGTGGGGTTGCCCCATTGACTGCCGCGGTGGCAGGAGGTTGGGTGATGGAATGATTGTTTTTTTGCTTGTCTATAGGTTGTATTTGCTAATTCGTGTATAATCAGTTACTTTGGAAGGAGTGGCTGTGACGTGCTCTGCCCTACCTCGACGATGGGAGAGGGTGTCATGTCTTTCAGCCCAGCGCTGCGGGGCTGCTCAGCACCAGGGGCAGCAGTGCCTGGCTAAGGCTACACAGGTCTGTTTCCAGTAGATGGCAATAGTTATTTGCATCGAAATTCTGTGTTTAAAGAGAAGATCTCTGGGACCAGCTGCTTACAGAAGCTCGCTCACTCTAGTTGTTCTCCTGTGGAGTTTTTATTCAAATACCGTCTGTGCTGTGCTGCAGCAGCCCTGCCGCTGAGCTTGTCACTGCTGGGCTCTCATCGTGCTGCGCTGCTGCTGTGATTCCCACCATGTGCCTGCTACTTCCTTACCTGCTCTTCTCCGCACCAACACGACCTCGTTGCCAGCACTGCAAGGAAAGAGCCAGGGCAGAGCAGGGAAGCAGGGGCTGTGAGATGCCCAGAGAGAGAAGTTGAAAAGTACAGCCCTGTTTTTCACAGTAAGCTACATGACTGGCAGGAAAACGTTGTTGCAGCCATTCCCTGTCCCACCTGAAATTCAGTATTCTTAGTCTTGGCCCTCCCTGTTCTTGCTCAAGTGCTTCTGGCTCCTTTCAGTTTAAAAGCCTGGGACAGAGAGGGTCAAGAGAAGAAGAGTTGGGTTTTTTACACTTAATACAGCTGAACTGCCCTTTTTCAGGCTGCATCCCAAGCTCTCTTGCCCTGCCGGCCCCCAAACTTCACAGTAGAAGTGGTGGTGCCCTGAGGAACAGCTGGGGGGGTTAACAGAATGAAAATATTTGCTGCTGGGCATAGTTTTTGGCCAGATGCTGGTGTCCATGGGTGTTGTGTGACACACGGACAGCAAGGCTGAGGATACTGACAGTGCAGGACACACATGTAAGGAATTTGGTGCATCCCAAATGTATTGTTTTATTATGTGCAGGCAGGTGCTTGATGTGGACAGCTTTGAGGATAAGGCTAAATGCCTTAAAACTTGCCAGTATACTTTCTGGATGGGAAAAAGATGAGTTTAAGGACAAGTAGTTCAGCCAGTCAGTTTGTCGAGCCTTTTAAACGAGCAGGCACAGCACTGGAGGCTACCAGCTTCCCTCCTCTGGGCAATAGCCATTTCCAGATAGTTTCAAATATTGTCTATATTATATGAGGTCCTAAACTGCTGTTTGTGTGATTGTGTAGGAAAACACATAAAGTATTAAATAGTTCTTCACCATCTTTCTTAAAGACCGATACTTTTAAGTAAGCACTTCATGGGTTTTTGTTAATGCAGGTATGCTCTCAGTGCACATAAAAATCCCTCCTAACAAATAACTGACTGTAAATAATTTGGTTTTTAGTTGTCTGTGTGATGTCACCTCAACTAAAAAAAGTCATTTGAAAGCTGCAGTTTTTTGTTTCTCAGTTATACTTTTCTGTTGATGGGTGTAGTTAAACAAGTAACATTTACTTTTATCTGTAATGATTGAAAATGTTGCATTGGCAAGCACTGGTGCCTCCTTCCAGGTGTCCTTAAGAGGACAAGTACCGACATACCTGGGGAATTCTTTGGCAAAGGTAATGTACTTTTATTGTTGTTATTATTGTTTTTATTGTTGTTATTATTGTTTTAATTGTTGTTATTATTATTATTATTATTATTGTTATGTTTAAATAGAACACACCAAATTTAAGCTATTCAGTTATACCAATATATTTAACCACAGTGGACCAACAAGCTATCCTGGTGCTGATGTTTCAAGGCACATGGGTGCACAAGAGGGACCCAGGAGATGTTCACCACGCAACCAAGCCCTTGAGGCTCTGGGACCAGGTACCGCTTGGTACCCACCGCTTATCGCTGCTAGTCAAGAACTGGATGCTTCTGTTTGCAGATTCAGTATCTCTACACAACTTCTGTCTGATCTCTTCACTAGCCAGATGCAGTGAAATAAACCAGAGACACTTCACCAGTGAAACAGTGTTTAATATAGTTAAATTACTTAAATAGATTTCAATTTCCATGGGAAATCATAATTGTATCCATTTTTGCAAGATCCAGAGTAAAGAGAGTGTGAATACCCCTTGAAATGATCATGACACACTGTCAACAATCACAGCTAGAGATACTGGGGACTTGAAATTTCATTGACAACACAACTTCATAAGATGAATCAAAAGTTAAGAAGACTGCAGACTTTCATAAAGCAGAAAGCAAAACCTAAAACCAAGTGTGTGGCATGAAGGCAATGAAATTCAGTGAGGGAGTAATAGGGATGGAAGGTGGAGGGGGCAGGGGGAAAGGCATAAGAGTGTGATGCAACTTAAGTATTTTGCAAACCAGGAAAGATGTAAAGGAGCAAAAGTATAGTACAAGGGCAGACTTGGCAGTTTTACAGAAGTCAATATACTATACTTTTCAGAGATGTTTCCTAGTGAAAGGGAGAAGGATAAGGGCGAGGCCATTTAAGCTCACGTTTAAATGGCTTAATGCTCAGGTTATGCTTAGCATTATGGCAAATTAATTAAGACAGGCCCATGGATTATCACTTATTCTTGTTGTCGGGTAAGAAAAAACAAATCACCACCATAGTGCAATCATTAAGCTGTTTGTACTACAATAATTCTGCCCTGAGAAGAGTGGAAAAGAACTTTATTAAATGTCAAAAGATTGGAGTCATTTTTAGTGCTAGCCAAATTCAATATCAAAACTCTCCCCTCATAGAATATAAAAAATATAGTGTTTTTTTAAATTATTTTCTCTTTTTTTAATAAAATATCAAGGGATTTTTCTTCAATAGTTAAAAAAGGTACATAAATGATAACAGTGAACTATTAATAAACCCCCCACTAGTGATAAAGATGTCCAACACAATATCAATGGCACTGTAGTTTAAGGTCAACCACCTTGTATACACATTTGCTACCATAACCTTTTTTGAAGATCGCCTAATTCCTGAAAATTGAAAATCCATGACTCGGTTTAAGTAAGTGCCTAATACAGGAAAGTCAACTTGATGCTTAAGTACATAGTTCCTAGTAATGTCAAATGGCAGTTACAACATCAGACAACTCTCATATCAGCAGAAGTCCATTGAGACCGTCTTTGAAAAATTATTTTTTTAAAAGGAAAGTTCAACTGAGCTTATTTTTTTTTCTCTTCTTATAAGAGCTCCTGCTAGAGTTAGTTAGAAGATTTGCTTAGAGCTCTTTTTTTTTTTTTTAATAAGATTGACTGATACCATCTCAGTAGCTAAAACTCCAAGGTTCTGTTTCCATTTGTTAAGACGCCACCCTCTGCTTCAATGCTGCATGGAACAACTGTGTGACTACCACGTTTTGTTTATTCCTCTTCTTTGGGGTTGTAGATTTTTCTGGATTTTCATTTTAAAATGCATCTGATTCAGCCTGGAAACTCACCTGTTTGTTGTTTGTTTGTTGATTGTATAGTGATAATCTGAAAACTGCCAAGTCTGTGTTCAGAGTATTACGCACAAAAAAAAAATTACACAAAAAGTCTACAGGTTATATACACCTCCCTCCACACCTCAGTGTGGATAGCCTGCTTTCTAATTTATATATAATTTACAAAATATAGAATTTGGTATATCTGTTAGATCTCCATGTTTTCAATATTACAAAATAAAAAATACAAAAAAACCCACATCAAATTTCAGGGGAGTTCTCCCCACAAAATGTCTCTTGTTTACATCTAGTCTTTCCCATGTAAACTGATATATACCAAAGAAGAGCACAGAAGACTTTTTAATAAATATGGTTGTAGAGCCATCTTTCTTGATCTTGATCTTCTGCTTCATCTGATGTGCCAGCCCCACTCAGAAAAGCAGTCATTTAGCCACGTCGAAGAAGGAGAAGAGGGGGCCAGGGCTATAATGTCTTTTCATGCTAAAACATTACCGATGCCCTTCTAAAGGCCTTTTTGTGTGCGGCAACAGTGGGTGTCAATTTTGAAAGCCCATTCAAAACAGCTAATAAAAGCACAGTGGTACACTTCAAATAGCTGGCAGTATGGGAAGGAAACATTATGGGAGTGCAAATCCATTCCAAAATAATGCTTTGTAGTGAATCATACATTCCTTCAACCAAGTAAATGTTGTGTTGCGTCAATAAATACTTAAATAGCTTCTTATATCATCCCGTGGTAGCAGCCTTTAAAAAAATTCCAAATTCATGTCTTATCTGTGAACTCTGTAGTACACATCTTTGGTCGACTTAGCACTCAGTCAGGAACAATTCCGAGGTGGTTTCTTTCGATTTCCTTTCATGATGGGTGGCCAAAGAGTTTGCTGATACCAGCTCTAGAGTCATGGTGTGAAATTTCAGCTGCGCTGCGTTTCTAGCTTCACTGCCAAGAAAAGCGATTCTTCTCCGATTCACAATCTCGCGTAATGCAAATTCCATCTTTGAGCGATGCTTGCAGTCGGTGCTAACTAATTGGAGGCCCTTCATTTAGAAAGTAGGTGGTCATTTCTCCTTTGCCTTTGACCTTAATGACTCCTCGATATTCCAGCTGATAGTTGTTGGCTGCTAAAACCTGGTACATGTCTGTGGTTACCTGCAGAATGAACAAGAGTAGGAAAATGCTTGTCATGCCTTCCACACAGTCTCTTAATCTGCTTTTGAAGTAATCCACAGACAAAATTAAAGCAAGATCAACTATTTTGTTTCTAAGTCAGTTGACTTGTGCATATCGATCACTAACTAACAGGTTGGCACAAGCTGCAGAGCAAACGCAGTTTTTAGCAACTGAGAAACTAGAGAAGTCACACATGGTACACAACTGGGGGAAAAAACAAACAAATGAGTCACATTTTTAAAAAGGCACCTGGCAGTTCAATCTACTCAGATGCATTCCTTGTATCAGTAGAGTGGTAGTAGGAGAATAGGTTAAACAAAAATAAAATGTCTTCAAAAGTTCTTAGAAATTACACAGTGGATGCACATTTTAGAAGGGGTCATTTGGGGATTTGTTTTTGTGAAGAAGAAGAAGGTAGCGGGCTATGAGAAAGACTGAAAGAATGGAACACTTCTAGCCAGCATCCAAATTCTCTCTGCAGATGCTATTCAAAAGACCAGATTTTTTGTGAAATTTATTTATTACAATGTATTTTCTCAGCCCTTTTCAGGTGACTTTAAATATTTACATTTCTGTCTTCCTATTCCTGTAATATTTCTGTACTGATTTGCTTAACTGGGATGAAAATCATTCATGGACCATCTCACAGGAAAGTTTAAAGGGTAGTGGATAAATATTGATCCAGTTAGTTGGAAACAGCTTAATTGGAAAGAAACAACATGGCTTCCCCTCTTGGGTTTTACACCAGTTACTTGAACTATTTTTCTATCCCTGCAGTATTTTCCCAAGGAATGACATTCTGTTACTGTGGACACTGGCTCAGCAAAAGCAGGACAGTGGAATTGAATCACTGGAAAGGTCACTATCTGAAGGCCAAGGAGAGGTTTGATTACAAGACAGTTTCCATTAACCCCTTAAACCATCCTCTTTCTCTAGTCATATATTCCCATTCCGCTGATGCCTGGATCCTGGCTAGCCTCACAGCACATATGGCATTGTGAGCACAGAATCATAGAATCATAGAATCATCATAGAATCATAAAATCATAAAATCATAGACTGGCCTAGGCTGGAAGGGACCTTAGAGATCATCTAGTCCAACCTCCCTGTCATGGGCAGGGACGCCTCTCAGCTAGAAGTGGATTACAAAAATACATACCTGAATCAAAACCCTTGGAAGATAAAACAAACTACAGCGGCTGCGGCTGAACAGCAAAGTCGGCAGCATCACAGCGGGACTGTGCTCATAGACTCACAGAATATGTTGGGACCTTTAAAAGACATCTAGTCCAACCCCCCTGCAGTGAGCAAGGGACATGTTCAACTAGATCAGGTTGCTCAGAGCCCCATTCAGCCTGACCAGTATCACTAGCATTCTGCAGCTGGCTTTTCTTTCAATACTGTGTAAGTAAATATATGGCATAAAGGAATAAAATGAAACCAAAACTAGTTCTAGTTGTTTCAAAACCCGTAAGTGACACAGGGCTGGAAATATAAGTTTCCCAGTGATTCCTTACCTGAATCCTGTCAGGCACACCTGTGCTGTCCATCCGGCTGGCCACATTCACTGTGTTACCCCATATGTCATACTGAGGTTTGCGTGCTCCTATCACCCCAGCTACAACAGGACCAATATTGAGGCCTGGAAGTAGAGGAGAAATCCCACATCACTCAGATCCATCACATATGAACCACATGAAACTCGAGGCAAGTTATTTTTCAGACTATGAAAAAACACGCTGAGGTTCATTGGCCCTAGCTGTGCTTTACCCTGACTTGTACAGCTACAGCCAAACCGTAGCAAAAGAATCTTTTCAAGAAAAGTTGGCTTCTTGGATCCATTGTGCCTGTCTGCCTGGCAGCGTGGGATGGATCTGCTCAATCCAGAGCTACTTTCCAGTACCAGATAAAAGGATAAGGTTTATTTGCCATCCAGCTGCCAAGCAAACCGCTCACTTGGAAGTCAGCACACAGCTGCCGCAATGCTGAGCGCCTGTGAGGCAGCAGCCCGGCTGCCTTCCAGAACAAATACCACGCTTGACATCCTCACATTTCTTCTCCTTCTCCTTTTCTGTCTTGTTTTATTCCCTGACCTGAAAGACAACTTATTGTCCAAGAATGGCTAAGCTGGTGACCACAGGAGGTGTGGGCAAATGAGGCAAATTAAGCCCAAGCTCAACCACCATGTGAGACCATGCTGTGGTAAGAGCTTTTCTGAACCAAGGTCAGTTGACTACCTGCTCCTAGGTCTCCAGGGAGCTTCAGTAACAATTCTGCTACTCTTCCAAAATTGCTCAGATGTTTCAGAGAGGTCAAAGTGATCACCAGGCACAAGATAGTTAACATCACCATACAGCCTAGGTAACATCTATGATTTGTTGCTCTCCATAAAATCCCCAGTTCAGAATGACCACTGTGTAAAGGCAGTGACATTACCTATCTTCATCTGGAAGTTGTTGAATGAATGTTCATTAATGTATTTCATTTGGTCCATTAATCTCATGGCAAAATCAGCCAGAGCTTTAATATGTGTCTTCCCTTCTTTGTCGTAAGTGGAATCATTGAGGCCTGATGCAGCCATGTAAGTACTGCCGATAGTCTTGATCTTCTCCAGCTGCCGAAACTGGTCTTCACTTATTATCTATTTCACAAGAGCAAAAGAAGCAAATAAACCTTGTCAAACACATACATGCTGGTAACGTCCTTGCCATATGTTCTCCCTTGGTACAAGGACTACAAAGTACTGGACAGAGCCTCCACTACTCATGGTATAAGAAGAAAGGGGAGTAGATATGTGGAGGAGTGACAAGGGAATAGAAGGGATTGTAATTGGAAAAAGATAAAAAAGAAAAAAATAATTAAAGACTGCTAGAGCGAGGAGAAATGAACCGTGGCACAAGGATTCAATAAGCCGCCTTCCTTCAGGAGCTCAGCAAAGCCCAACTAAAAGCATTGATTCGGTTCACTCTGTCCACCCAGATTTTCTGCTACTTACTTCGTCGAAATCGGCAATGATCTCATTGAGCAGTCTCAGACACTCCACGCCTTCGTTGTTGGCCTCCAGCTCCACGTAAAACTCTGAGAAGTTGCTTATGGAGGCAAACATGACAGCCACACACTCACAGGACTGGTAGTACAGTTCATCATTTCGCCGCTCCTGCGCCAGGAAATGGGCTGCCACATCCTTTGGCAAAATGTTGTGAAGGAGGCGTCTGTTATAGGCCTGCAGCTCCTCCATTTCTTCTTTCTCTTCAGTGGCCTAGTTTAGGAGAGAGAGACAGTCATGTGCTTTTGGTAACTGCTCTGCGGAGGGGAAAAAAAGCTGAAAATGAACTTGCAGGGAGGACAGAAACAGAAGAAAGGGGGAAACTGCAAAGGAGGGAAGAACCAGAGAGATGCAGAAAATTGTGTTTCATGGTGGAAGATGCTCTGGCTCTTTGCGTGCACACGGGTATCTTGGTTTGAGAGCACCAGGAGAAAATTCTCTGGGGCTCCTGGCACAGGGGGCAGCTGTGCCCACGGGGAGGAGAGGATGGGTCAGGTCACCCAAAGGGACCGATCACAGTGTTCCTTCCCATGGTGCTCAGTATAAAAGAGCCCCTAAGGCGAGTCCTAAGGCTTTTGGTACCTGCTATGCTACCAGGGTTGCCCTTGGCTCTTCCTCATCTCTCCCTGTGCTGCTGGTGTTCCCACCTCCCGTTTTCATGCCGCACAGGAGTGTGCTGTTCCTTGGGAGAGGCAGTTTTCCCCTGTCTCCCTGGGTGGGAGCAGCACAGCTCCTTTTCTGATTTTTTGGACTGTCATCAGGACTATGGGCTTGCGTGCTGCTGAGGCCAGTCTGGGACTTTTTTCCACTCAGGACGTAGTTGTCATCCAGAAGGCTGAGGTTCCGTATTAACATATTATCTTGTATCACTGAATATATTTGCATGCTTGTATAATATCTGTATACAGTTCAACACCTTAATCAAAGTGTTATTTTCTTTTTCATTATACTAGTTCAAGTTTGTTTGTAACCTCAAAGTCTCTCTGCCTGGTTCCCCTGTTATCCTCCCATGGGAGGGTGGTGGGGGGATCACAGAGTGTGTCTGTCACAGTTTAGAAGCTAGGCCAGCCTTAAACTTTGACAAGGGGTATGTAAAAGCAGGCATAGAATACCACCAAATTCCAACGTTGTTGTATTTCTGGGCCTGGAATTGGGTAACCTGTACAAGGTCTGTTCCTCCACTGCCATACACAAACCCACACATTTGGTTTTCCCAGTCAAGCACAGCAGGTTTCAGGAGGACAAAGGCAGCTCATCATTGCTAAAGTCTGACGGCACGAGTGGCACTGAATTATGATTCTCTCCCTGCACCACCCAAAGGCCCATGTAGCTAAATAAAAGGAGCCTCTTTTGCCACAAGGTTTGCTGAGGTGCAACAATGGCTGTGAAGTGCAGTTGCTAGGGAGCCCATGAAACAGGCCAGTCCCGCCACTCTGGAGAGGGCTTTTCACCGGCCTGTAAAGCCCGTGTCTCCGGCCACAGTGGGGCTGTGCCTGGACAAAGGGAAACATAAGAAGAATGGGTTGTCTTCTTTCTGTGCTAATGGATATGGGCGAGGGTTTAATGTTCAGACAGACCCAGAGCTTTGGGAAGGATGTACCTAGGATATCTAGGATGTATTTAGGCCTAAGCAACTAAAATAAAACAAGCAGTTAGGCTTCACTAGATTAGTCTTCAGAACCAGATTTGATTTCTCTTTGCAGGTCTGCACAATGCCACCATTACCTCAATTCATTGCTTCTAGTTTGTAGGTAAAGGTAGAGGTAGAGGTGTGTGCACTGATCACCTCTCTACCAGCCATTACCTGATGGCAGCAGTATTTCCCTCTCTTGTTTTACTTTTTGCCATTTTGAATGTTTCTGAAGAAAGGAAAAACAGGGTCAGGCAAGGACTAGGGAAGGTGCAGCTGAGAAAGGGGTTGCATGGAGAGGTTCAGCTTCCAGAAACCCCACAGAGCTGTCCTGTGTATAGCACCCTCCACTTCAGCAGATGCACCAGCGACAACATACATACAAAATGGGTCGTCTTCAAAGCTTTTTTCCCAGTGACTTTTGTCATTGCTGGAGAACTGAAGCCATAAAAAAAAAGACTTTCCTGGCACATATTGGCCTTCGGATCAAAGAACACAGCTCAGCCATACTCTCCAGCCCTCACTCTGTGAGAGAAGAAGGGCTCGGTTCCCCACATCTGTTAAGTACGTGTTGGGAAAGGCACAAGCAACACTTGGCAAAGTGCTTACGACTTTGCTCATGGATGCTGGTTTCTAAGCCAGGACATTTGAAACGAAACGAAGTTAAACAAGGAAGGACTCTTTAGAAGGTGATACGTCTGGACAGAACAAGGAAGACTCTTGGCTCTGCCTAGGGAAAAAAATGCTTTGGCCAGCTGAGCCCAGATCTGAAACAGGCAAGTGGGCTCATCCCACCCATTGTTTACCATTTATAAAGGAGGATAACAGTGTTTATCTGCTTCCCAAGGAGCTTTAATTAATTGGTGTCCCCTCAGTGTTTCCTGCTCAAACCACTGAAACCTATTATTAGAATGATGTCCTGCCATCCAGAGGGTAAAAAATCTGTATAAAACCTGCAGTCCTCCAGCTGTGAGTCCTGGGCAGAGCTGAGACCTGTCCTGCTTGCTTGAGAACCACATACATTGCCCCAACATCACTTGTGGGCACAAGTATTGAAAAATTTAACACTTAACCCAGGGGCAAGAGTACAATGTGTCATCTGTATTGTATTGATTATCCAGTGCTGCTGCCTAGGGGGTAATGATGGCTGGATATCAAGCAAGTTCCCACTGCTTAAACAAGAAAGTCAATGAAAATGCAAATGTGAATCTTTTACATCCCTGAACTGAGCAAATGAAAGCTCACTGAACTCTGGGATACAATTCAGCAGTGAATATGAGCTTTTTATATTTACAAATTGTGTTATATTACAGGTTCCTGCAACAATGACAGGCTCAGTTGCCCAAATTCATTAACTTCGATCTTCAGATCTATAACCCTTTACTGCGGGGACCATCCAAAGCACGTTTACAAGGAAACAAGATGTTAAAGGCAATAACCAGGATGAGAATCACTGAGTATGCAAGGTACCAAAGAGCACAGCATTACTAGAATGCCCAGTTCTATGCCAGATGCAGATTAAATTCAAAGGCATTTTATAAAACTCCTCAACTCGATAGCGAATAGCTCAGCAGTTTTACATTAATGCCAATGACTCCAACACAGTGAACACCCACTAACCTGGAGTTTCCAGAGGAAATCAAGCCTTGCAGTGGATTCCACTTGCTGGGCATGCAAGTACAGCGCCAGGACAAAGACGGTAATGATGACAGGGGTCACAATCTTCAGCGCGACTCGTGTCATCACTGGAGAGCTGCAGCCAACCAGAAGAATTTCCCAGTTAGTCTCCTCATGGACGAACACAGCTTAGCCATGCTCTGCAGTTCCCACTTTAAGGGTAATCCACTTCTGCAGAAAAGGCTTTTTTCTTTCCCCTCAAAGCATGTGTTGCTAAAGAGGCAAACAATACCCTCAGAAAGCTGAGGAATTTGGCTCCTAGGTGCTGCCTTCTAAAGCAGGACTTTGAAACTGGAAATTTAATCCAACTTCTTAAAAAGGTTTAACATCAATATAAAGGCCATATTTTAAAGAATGGATATACATGCTCAGACACCACTATGCTTGGCAAAACCGAAATGCTGACAGCTCTTCTGACTGTATTCACTGGGTTTCCCGCACCGGCTTCCCCAGCCTCCTAAGGCTAGAACTGGTCTACACTTACTGCTTCTCCAATTAGTCACTTCTTAATGGCCTTTGTTTTGTAAGTATTCCATTAGCTGAAAAGAGTGCTAAGACACATTTCCATCCCATCTGACAAGCAAGAAAATAAAAACTGTTAAATCTGAACTACAGAGGTATACAGTATGAAAATACTATTTTGATAAAACCTTTGACTTATAATTACAAGTAAGCTCTATGAGACGGTCTCATAAAGTTGACATAAATCCTGAAGGATGCTCTGAGAGAAACTATACAAAAGGGCAATACTCAGTCCACTGAGGGCACTTGCACTGTGCTGCAGCAGCTCGCAGCAATGCACAGTCAACCACCAGACACCACTGGTGAGTCAACATGCTGATACTGCATATTGGCAAGAGAAAATGTCTGCTAACGAAAAACCCCATAAAAATATTTCATGCCAAAGTGACTTACCAAGATAACGTTCCATTTGTAGATATGCTGGAAAAAAACACGAACATCACGTTAATAGAGTATTTAGATCCCTCCAGCACTCGCCCTGCTGTACCTCATCCAACAGCACTTCTGCAATGTGGCACCTCTAACACTGTGTGGGGCTATAGCCTTTTTTAAAGCAGAAAACTAGACGAAGATGGAGGGAGGAGGAGGAAAAAGGTCGTAGGAGCTACAGTCAGAAATCCAGAGTGATAGTGCCACAAGGTTAATGTGGTTAAAATATGTAAGAGCCAGAGAACCATTTGGGATTTTAATGTCAGCGTGGGATGCTCAGCAAATGCTTGTTCATCCATCACTACCTCCTTAGGTCAGGCTCGAAAATCTGATCTAAAGAGGGACACTTCGGGCTAATACCTTGTGAGGGCTAGCTCCTCTCTTCCCTATTTATTGTAGCACGGAGATGTGCTTAATTCCTGTAACTCTAGCACTACTCCCTTCTGCAAATTGTTCATCTCCAGTGCTGTTCCTAGCTATGGAGACTGCACACGAGTGCAATAAAGAAAACCCTTCTGTGGATTGCTAGTACTGTTCACAGAACTGCAAAGTACTCGTATGAAACAGCTGCTGGAGAGATGGAGGGTGTGTGTTTATTCCCAGTGAAAGGATAGAAAGGAGCTTTCTGGCAGGTAGTAGCTGAGTTCCTGACTGATTGCTTAATGCTGCTGGGTTTCTTCTCAAGTGTGGGTGGAATATTAGGTGGCAGAGAACCATGTACATGGATCTTTAAAACACTATTTAAATGGAAAGAACGAGATTTGTGGTAAAATTACTGTAGTGTCATTGATGCAATTACAGCTTTGCAGGCTACTAATGTGATCCATCTTTAGCCTGAGAATCTCATAGCTGTCTTGAGAGCTTCAGTCCACAGTTTTCTAGAGCTGGGGAAAGTTTCTTGCTACGGAATCAGATAAAAATCCTCAAAATCGCCAAGGGAGCCTAACTGGGCATAAAATTAAAAATAAAAGCACAGTGACTCTCTAACCTCGTTTGTTCTGAGACATTTTATGCAGCTCTGAGCATGGAATTTCTTCTGATATGCATTTTACAACCCACTGTCATCTTGCAGACTGCCTATTGCATGGCCTCCTGGCCAGCTCCAGCACTGAACATGTGTGCTTGGAGATGGATCCAGTTTGGGAACTCCAGGAATATTGACTCCCACCCTAAAGGTTGGATCTAGATGAAGTTGGAGACACTTCCTACACGCAGCATGATACTTCTATTCCCCTAAATCACTATCAGGCCAAGGATGACTGACTGCCCCCCGTTATCACTCTCTGTTCTGACAGTGTGGCAGATCTGACCCTCTGTCAGCCTCTAGTGGGGCTGCTGGGTGTTAAGCTTGCTCTAAAATCTTCAGCAGAGACTATGAAATGCAGCAAAACCAGTATTTACAATAACGCTTTGGATAAGTGAAAATGCCCAATGCAAGCACTAATGGTGTTGCACTGGAAGGTTGCTCCCCCGTGGGACTTTTCCTGGAGCAAATGGCTCTTTAATTACTGGAAGGTAACACAGAGAGGAGCTTGCTAAATACACTCCCGCTCAAGTTAAGTGTGTATTCTTTTTCTTAGCAGGAAATGTGGCTCATTCTGGGGACAGCTCCCATAGGACACGGACATCTCCCTTCTCACAGCCACGATACCAAGGACAGACAGCCCTCTAAATCACAAACCACAGCTCAGCCAGAAGCAATGGGCTTGAATAATGAATCACGGGGCAAAGCACTTTGGGCTCCACTATAGTGGAACTCAACTTAGATCACATCGGTCCATCACATCTTTAAAACCAATGCAGTGGATTTATCTTCTGCGCAGGTAAAAAGTCCTGTGATAGTAGCTGTCTGCATCCGGTTATACCTCACAAGTGACCACGCTGGTGTGTCGCTGCAGTCAAGTCTAGCAGCTCCCAACGCGCTGTCATAACCCTCTCAGCTGCCTGCATGCTGGGCTGGTTTGTACACAGACGTGTGAAGTGACATCTGCATCACTTCTAATTAGTCAGAGTACCATAATGGCTGCAGAGCAGCCACTAATTATGTAGCGGCAAAAGACACTCAATTAAAATAGCATGAGGTCGTGGTTTAGGTTTAGTTATTTTTTTAGTATCAACTGGACAATAAGGTACATCTCTGAACCATGTGCTACGTGCTGAGCTCTCATTTCTCATAACAGACCAATGGACTGCCAGACATTGGGACAATAAATAGCTGTCCGTGGAGCTCTCTGGACCAACCGATTACCATTTGGTGAGAGATTATATAGCATCACAGAGTGTTATTTCTGGGAAAACATGCTAACCTTCTCCACTTTATTACTGACATTTTGATTGTGTAGTGACGTAAATTACACTTCTAAGTGCTGTAATTTTGCTTAGTGCTTGACTTACAAGAATGAAATGATATTTGGGATATAAAACGCTTTCATTTCTCTAATTGTGTTAGAAAATGCTAAATAACTTCTGCTCTTGGAATACTAACATCTGCAAAAAAAAAGGAAGGAAACCTCCTTCTCCCCATACCTCCACAGAAATCGCCATGGGATTTCCTACATAATTTCATTCACTTGAGTTAACAAAATAATTTAAGTAGTTACTACCAGTGGCAGTAAAAGCCATACATCCATTAATTATTACTGGGCACACAGGAATGCTAAAATCATCCAATATTTATGTGAAACAGAATTAACCAGGTGCGTCCAGCTTGAAGGGGTTAATGGACATCAAGAAATGTGAGCAACTACACAGGCTATTTCACAACATACAGGATAGCACTGGGAAGGACCATGGGAATCCTCTCAACCATCCTCTGTCCAAGACAGGAGCAACCACAGCTATCATCCTTGACCAACATTGGTCCTTTCTAGATCTCTGACTGTTTTTTGCTGCTCTGGACTCTCCATTATTGTGAACTGCATTGTTTCCCCAAGCTGGAAAACATATTCCAGGAGGCTCTCCCACTCCTGAGTAGAGCAATTGTCTACTCCTTATGTCTTACAGGCAACTCTCCATATTATATATCCTAGCATCGCCTTCACCAATAGACAACACCATGGTTTGATTGACTCATGTTCGAGTACAATTGTTGCCTACAGGGGGGAATCATCAAAACAAGTAGTTAACACAACAACACAACTCCCAGTGAGAAAGGAAATTTGTGGAGGAGGATGGGTTTGGGGATATTTCCCTCCCTGCTGCGACCTGAAGAGGGGTAACCATGTCAGTGGAAGGAGGTTGCTGCCATGATTGTGTGACCTGGTGATGACAAACCACCTTTTGTAAGTAAAAGGGCAACTGGCTACTTCTATTTAGGCCCAGACCCTCCTGCTGGGAATTGTGCTGAGACCAGCTGTGACACTGGCTTTCCAAATGTGGACATGTGTCCAATGGCAACTGTTAGATCACTAACCAAACACTAAACACCACCATTCCACCTACCCCCCAACCTGGATTTGATATACCAGATGTCCTAACATCTTGGTGGTTCACTATCACATCCCTGAGCCAGCTCAAGTCTGTTGGAGTTGTTTTGTTTTTTTTTTTCTTTTCTTTTTTGAGAAAGGACATTTCTATACTGAGTGTAATACCAGAAGAAATGAGAATTACTAACTACATTTCCCCATTTCTGGAAGAAAATGAAATACAGATCCACTCTGATTCCAGTTATATTTTATTATTAATAGATAGGTCATTAGTTAAGTTCCACATTAAAAAGATCTTAAAGGGAACTGTTTTCTCTTCAGCAGTGGAGAGCAGTACTGATGAAGCCTTTAATTTACCGCTGTGCCTTCTCTGGTATCATGCACTTCCCTTGCTCACCCCACAGCCTCAGCATTCCCCTCCACCTAATACCACACTGAAATCATTGGGTGAAAGAAATTAAGTGAAGATTTCAGAATTGAAAGGCACTTACTAGGTGTTAGCTGTAACCAGGAGATCTGCATTGTCAAAAAGGTTGACCCCTGCCACTTCCACAATGAGAACATATATGAATTCAATGATTAACATAAGGATCAGTTTTCCAATACAGCTGATCTGAAGGAACACAGAGCAGGCCAGGAGACTCAATAAGACACTGTAGGTAAAGTACTGCATAAAGACAAAAAGGGGAAAAAAAAAAACAGAAGAGAGATGAACGTCAGCTGGGTAAATAAAAACTGAAAACAGAGGATACTAAACAGAGGGATAGAAAGGGATTGGGAGTTATGTAGTTGAGCTGACTGAACATGTAAACTTGGGGTTGACTGTGGGATTCTCGCATGTTACAGGAGATTAAAGACTTAAAACTGAACCAGTGAAAATTCTTGCATTCTTCATCAGGTATTACTTCTTTTATACTGAAGGGGCTTGCAGCTGTATACCCAAGGCTGTCATGTAGGTTTGTCCTAGAGACGGTTACTGAATTAGCAGAAAGCACCATCCGGTTATGCTGGAATACTTAGTGCTTTAAGGTCCAATTCTCAACTTGAATTCATGTGTCTGCACAAGACATAGGACAAAAGGTAAAAGCAATTCACATCACTGGGACAGATACCCACTTGAGGCCAACTGGAAAGTATCGCCCCTGCTGATAAATTGAATCCATTGGCAAGACACAGGCTGGACAAGCTTCTACCAATACCTACAACAGGACAATTTTTTCTGCCGGCAGTTGCAGAATTGTGTGCATGTGTGGTAGTGGAGCCCTCTGCCACACGAGGGCATGGGACAGCGACTTCTGACAGCTGAATGTTTAGCATGCCAGGGCTTTCAAATGCAATTGCAGATTGCAGCTGCCATTTATGGAAAAGCTAGCATGGATGTGAAATGAAGAGAAGCATCTTATCCAGTTTATCAAATCTGTGAAGATTTAAGCTTCCACTTTGTCCAGGCAGGCCCATTTCTGGCAAAAAATACCTGTATCAGATGCCCGAGGCAATCCATTCTTTCGGTTAAAAGAAAGTCCTAGTTGAAGTAGAAATATGCTTATGTTCTGACCTCATTTATTAATAGTTGATTGCTGATACATTAAGTTAGAGAAAATAACTTGTACAACTTGTAACTTGACTCTTCAGTTACTAGAAAATGGGTGGACGCTCCTCATGGCTGAGGGGTAGGATCCCACCATCTCCCGAAAGCTCACTGGGAGCACCAGACAATGCTGGTAGCAGATTCAACATCTGCCCTGCAGAGAACAGGGGGTGGGACTCTGACCAGGCTGCCACAGCACCCTCAGCACGCAGAATGGTTGCTCCTCACTACTTACAATCCCTCTCTGTCCTGAACCAGCACTCCTGACAACCTCATGATGGGCGCAGACCATTTCTACTTCTCCACTGTGCCAGATTTTGCTCCTGGGTCTTTCTGCAGACACACAAAGGGCCTTTGCAAGTCCCAGTAATGGTGGTCTCAGAAACCTCACTGAATCAGACAGGGACCTTATTCCTGTTAGTTTAAATGGAAATAGATTCAGTGGGATACCAGGGCTTTCCGGAGCCCCTTGGACATCTGAATGATAACAGATCAGCCATAAATCTGTCAGATGACCTTGACACAAATTCTGCCCTCATCCTAGACAGATTTTTTTTTTCCTTTTCAATTTCCAGTAAGCAATACACCTAATGGCCATGAGCTAAAAACTCAGAAAAAGATCTCAAACAGCTATGCAAAAAGATGATTTTGGGGCAAAGTATTCTACCACTGTATAAACCATATTTGGGTGGGGTTTTTTTTTTGCCATTAGAAGCATTTTTGGGTTTTTTTTTAAACAACTTGCTCTGAAGACATAGGATTTGCAGATAGAAGCAGACCACTATCGGGGCTGCTAATCTGACTGAGGCCAGAACCTACTATACCTAGTGAAAGAATATATTAGCAGTGTTACTAATTGGGACATAAAACAATGGAGGGAAGGGTTAAATCAGTGAGTAGACACTGATTTTCAGTGAACAGACTTTCAGGTGACACTGAGCACCCACAAACTCCTTTTAAATTACTTCAGTTCCTCCTGCCATTAAGGACTTCATGAAGAAAGGCCATTTCTCCTGCAACAGGCAGAATCCAACAGTTATAAAAGCCTACTGATTATGCAGCCCTGAAGGAACTTAAACATTAATGTGGATTCATGATAATAATTTCAGACACTTAAGTTTGTGCGTAGTAGTCTGTGTCAGCCCTATAACGTCAGTCAGGAGCAAACTTGCTTTCCTCTGAATCACCGAGATTTATCACACAGGTTTTATAGCAGATCAAGCTCTGTAACTCATTTTCTTCAAGCAATACCTCTGGAAAGTTGCAGTTGGGCAAAGGACTGTCACAGAATCCCTGCAAGGTACCCAGGCTGTAGTTGGAAGTCAGGTTGCTGATAAGGCATATGTCCACCCGGTCAGGAGTGATGTTGTATTCCGCAGCCATGCAGCTGGCAAGATCCACAGTGCTGCACATGAACTGAAGAAAAAGATGGTATTAAACTCAATAGCATAGACAAGGAGAAAACAAAATAGTTTGCACAGATTAAAAAGTCCCTTAGAAACAGCTGTAGCAACGTGCAATATAAGCAAAATGAAATCACCAGCTTACATTTCATTGCATGTGCACTGGCTGTAGCTTTTCCTCCCTCAAAACATTAATTAATAAAATCCAGGCTGTGCACTCTAGAAGGCTAGTTTCGTGCTCAACTTCACACAGAACTTTATATTTGAAGGATCACAGACACAGGGGCTGTAGATATTACACATACAAATATATCTCGCTCTCTGTGATAAGGTCTTGGTGTTGCTCTGTTTCTGCTGATGGGAATTTCTGAGCTGATAATTTTCGCCTGGCATCTCTAAAGCTTCTGCTGTGAGTGCTTCTAAAGGGAAGATTTCAGCAGCAAGGCTCAAAGGCTGATGTGCTATGTTATACTGAGGAAGCAGCAGAGGCCCATTCTGATGTCCTCTCCATGCTGCTCTGTTTGACCATTTTGCTAAGTTTTACACTAAGCAGCTCACAAATGCAAAGAATCATACATTACGCAGGAAAATAAAGCTCTAATTTCTGCGTGGTTCTCAGCAACCCACACCAGTTCTTTGCAGGTGACTATGGGGGAAGGCGGTGGGTGTTGATGCCCTGAGCTAGCACCTCCCATTCAACTGAGCATAAAATTGTTCCTAAATCTCCATTATGTGTATAGGGAAGCAGAGGCAAGAGCAAGCAGTGGCCTGATTTTTAGGTGTTTAAGCCTCCCCCCACCAGTGCAAGTCAGCACTGCTCCAGCTGAGGCCATAACCGAGAGCTGCAGAGGACCACGTGAAGTCTCTGTAGCTACCTCCAAGCTCAGGGTTTTAAACCCAAGCCTCCTTCCACCCTCCCCTTAAAAAATGGAACACATGTACACAGGGTAGAGAATATTGAAATATTTCTTTAAAATGCATTCAGCCTCCAAGCCATTTTTACAAGTGAGAAAGCAGGGTCCTAGAGAAGAGCTCGTCCCTCTCCAAGTCCGAAATCAGCGGCAGTGTTTGCAAAGCTAGATCTCCCCACTCCCAAAAGTGCAACTCGAAGCAAAGTCTCCACAGTCCGTGGTAGGTGATTGCTGCAGGTGGAGCAGGATGTGGCTCCATGCGGAGGGCCGGCAGAAAGCCTACACAACATTGAAGCCCCACTCAATATTGTGGGAGTTAAATGACACATCAGATGTGTGCTGGCCCTTCGCGCAGGGCCACGCTTCAGGCTTGGCTTCTGTACCTGGAGCAGAAGCCTTTAAAGAATCAGAAGAGAACATGGGCACAAATTGGTGCCAGGCACATAATGGGCTAGAGGGATGCAGCTGTCAGGCTACCATTTCTTTTCTATGTCTGAAAAGCAAAAGGGAACAGACCTCAGATGCTGTAAGCAAGATTACATTAAACCCAATGGTTGTAAGGATTATGAATGCTGCAGAGCATCAATAAGAAAACCATGCAGAAGCAAGTGGGTCAAAAGGAAAAAAATGCACGTACCATATTGACAAAGGCAGATAGAAAAACCAGGATAATAGCAAAGACTCCAACTAAGGTACTATTGGTCCTGGACTGTACAATCTTCTTAGAAAGCGTCTGGAGTGGAGCTGGGAAAAGCTGCATTTGGACAAAAACCAAAGGAGATTAAATAAACATGTAACATCATTGCTTGTTTTACAGATTATGACCTGCATTTGAGCTGCCCACATCCTCCAGTGCAGTGTCTGCGTGGATGCTGCACAGGGGTTAGAGGATGGTGACGGGGATGGCAGATCCAGGACAAGTACGGGCAGGAACTTGACCGCCTTGTGGCAGTGAGCCCGGCTGGCTCACCAAATCTACTTAGTCCTTCCTAACGGGAATGATGGCTCCTGAGCTGAGATAGCATGGCTTGCATGGTTGTGCTCATCCTGTCGTGAGAAGCAAACCACAAGCCATCTGTAACTGAAATAGCCAGGAGTTTGAGTCTGTAAATTACTGGATCAAAAATCTAAAAAAAAGGCAGAAATGAAAAAAAACCACGTCATATCCCTTTGATCACAAAGGCGTATCGTAGGACTTGCTGATACCACTTCAGAAAGAAATTGTTAAAAAGCCCAGGCTAGTCTTGTGATCTGTCAGACCCTCAGTGAAAGGTGCTAGGGCAATCAGCTGGCCTCGTCTGGTCTATGGCACTTGGCACCACAGACACACGGGGATAAAAATAACTGCTGGTGAGGGCAACCACAAAACTGTCCCAGTGATTCACTACTATCAGAGCTAGAAGCTTTCTTCTAATTGCTTTCTGACTGCAGGCTGCTAGCGTGCTTTGCTTTAGGTGCTGCATCCTACTCAGGGTAGAAAGAGTCTCTCTGTTAAAGCAGGGACTAACCAGATGCCCTCTGTGGCACAAGCCACCCCTCAGCACCGCGCGGGGCCTCCTTGCCTTGCATTAGCTAGAGGAGAAGTCCAGAAGACAATGAAGGCAACCCTTTCCCTTCATGCATCACCACTGTCCCAGTGCAACCCGAGAGATGGACCCCAGGAACTCCTTGCTCTCCCCCCGCAGTGCCCGTCCCCTCCACACCAGTGCCCCAGGGCAGAGGGGCTCTGCTGAAGACGGCTGAAGTTTGTGCCAGAGCCCAGCTCTCCTTTCCCCACCAGCACGCTGCACAAATAACCAAGCCACTAGAGGGTATTTTTAGAGACACAATGCAGCAAGCAGCGCAGCGACACGGCACTGCAATTTATCTATGACTAATGTTTCTATTAAAAGTCTTGCTTTTCCCTTTTATCCTTCACTCTTACATCTTCAGAGATGCAACATTTTGTCAGTGCACAGCTTCCCACACAGCAGTCCTACAATGTCATTACGAAGTGTTTGAACGGACAAAGCACTGAATAGCTGGTGACTTTTACAGAGGGAGACCGAGGTTGTGGCAAGAGTTTTGAAAGAGCTGATTTCATCTGCTACCAGCACAGGTACCAAAATCCAGCTAAGTCCAGACGAAAGGAGAGGGCAAGGCTCTGTAGTGGATGGGAGGAAAGGGAAAATCGGAGTTATGAGTTATTTGCACTAAATGAGGATTGATTGAAAATCACAGAAATCTTATGGAATCCTTCAGGCTCATGCAGCCTCCATAAAATGAAGTCAAACACTTCTCTCTCAGAAGTAAATCCTGTCGATGCTGAAATCTTTGGCTTTGCTGATAAGCCATGAACCAAAATGTCTCCCTGCCCTACCATGTCCAGCTGCTTCCACACAGACATCAGGCAGCAGATCCCTGCCAGCGCAGGGATGTGGGAAACGCCTTGGGGCTTTCCTCCCCTCTAACCTTTATAGGTTTTGGAGGGAGAAGGAGGGTTTGTGCTGCATTTAGACAGTTTTCTAGCTAGATTAAAGCAGGACAGATTTTCCTTCCACCCCTCCGTTTAGGAGTCAAAGCCAAGATCCACAAAGGTATGCACGGACCTAACCTCTTTCTGTAATCTCTGGGAAATCAGGCACCTAAATAAAACTCGTGAGTGCTTTGTTGTGGATCTTGGCTCAAGCCCCTGCTGCCAACAATCCCAAAAAAAGCCTGACTTTGAACCAAGCCTGAGATATCATGCAAAGCTATCAGTGGAGGACACTTAAATTCTAATGAAAACATGTTTTCTTTGTATTAATCTTGGTTCTCATTACTTTGCAAACTAGGGAAAATTTTAGGTCAGTAAACAAGTACAGCTGGAAAAAATCCTGAAGAGGAAACACATGCCAAAAACCATAGGGAGTCAGGATTGCAGTAGAGAGCTCAACAGCACAGCCATGCTGCACATCTGAGAAACCTCTGCCTTGTGAACAACATTCATAGAAGCTCCACAACACAAGTAATGCTCTCGCCATTTCACAGAGGCAGACAGAGACCAGCAATACTTGCAGCTTGGAGGACTTCTATGACAGAAATGGGGGACCCACCTCAGCTCTGACAATTCACCTCCAGACTAGCAATGTTCTCTCCATAAGAAAATCCACACGTCAGGGGTATAAAAAAGAAAAAAGAAAAGAAGATGACTTCCCCTGCCATTCTTCAATAAAATAAAATCCCTTCTGCCCTAGGAAAAGAAGAAGAAGATCAGGGCATTGTAATACAGTGAAAATCCATGCATTGTTGCTGGTTAGTCCACTGATTTGTACTGTCCAACTTAATTTACTGCTCCTAATACAACTCAAATCTTGCCTGAGTGAAGAACAGGACACACGAGGGTCTGATGAAATAGCAAGTCTAAGCCTGCCTGTGCACTGCTGAGAACAGGGGCTGAAAGAAAGACGTGATCCGTTCAAGCAGCCAAGATTCATGTTTGGGTTGCCACGCAAGCTTGAGGTCACTCGTTAACACTCTTAAAATCCCCATGTAAAGAAAACTAACCAGAGTGGGAAAAAGGAAATTGGATTGTGCAGCCAATTCCAGTTCATTCAGAACTGGAAAGCAGAAATGCTGCTGGAAGACATTATCTTCCAGAAAAGAGAGGCTCTGAAAGCACACAGGTACCAATGAAAATAGAAGGCAAAGGGAGGGCACTGTTTTACTGGTGAAAGTCCAAATTTAAAAAGCAATCCAGCAAGTACTGGTGTTACACTGAAAATAATTCACAACCTCCAGTCATTTGCACAACAAAAATACACCGGGTGAAAACTGTACTATGCAAAACCAGCTGATCACATACAAAAGAGTAATTTTTCTCCTTTTTGTCTTCCTAACACATATTGTGGACATGGAACACTGCTTAGAAAATTGCCGTTGTGTTGTGAGACGAAAAAGACTATAAGGTCTTTAAGTTCTGATTTTTCAATTTGTAATAAAAGCCTTTTAGTAATTTTGAAGTACATTAAGATGCTTCTGGAGTAAAAGACAACATCTTCAGGCAACTTGATGTTGCAAGTCCATTTATGTAACTTATTTCACAGTGATTTATTAGTCTATTAAAAAAAATACAATTTTTGCAGGTATTTTTCCTCAGTTTGAGAAAACACTCGAACACTTTAGAAGCATCTAGACCACCTTTGAGAGGTGAAGAAATAGGCAGGCAAGCTGTACCTATGTAAAGCTACAAAACCCCCGTATTTTCTTGAAGAGGATAACTTGAAATTTCTCTCATATGTGCTCCCAGGAACATGCAAGAAGCTGAATTCCACACAGCAGTGTAGATAGCAGAAGTTAAGGATTTTAAGAAGCAATGTAAACTTGATAAGTTAGTAGCAAGACAAATGTCTGTCCGTGGAGTATTTGTGAAGGCACTCTAGTTCCCATGACCTTAGACTCTATTGGGAAGGAACACCATCTCGCAGTGGCCAAGTCTTCGTGGAGCATCAAAGTGAAGAACTAGAATTCTCTTGTTTATTACAGCTGAAGAAACTTGGAAAGCCAAGCTGGCTGTGTTGGCAGTTCCAGGATCAACTTTTAGTCCGTGGAGAATTTTATAGTGGAAGATAATAATGACAGCAAAGAAAATAAAACATGATCAAGCTGTCCAGAAAGAGCCTGCTGGCCACTGTCACAGCCAGAGATGGAGAGGCCAAAATAGGGAAAAAAAATCTCACATGAAAGCTAGAAAGAGGAAGAAAAAAGAGTCACTTATCATGTAACAGCACAGCAAACAGGCATAAGTTATGTTTATGCTGATATCCTGGGGTGGACACCTGCTTTCCAACTTTGCGTGGCATGAATCACTGGCATGTAAAACACATGCTCTGCTATCCCACATCCAAGTGTGGAACAAAACAAAGAATGCTGACATCCTTGTGTCTTAAAATTTCATCTAAAGGATCTGGAAAAGTGCCTCCCTCCTTTCTGCATATGGAGCAATGTGGACTACAGAAATAAAGCAACACCCTCTAATCAAGGGCTGGGTAAACCCATGCTTAAAACCCCCCTGACTTAAAACACCAAGATCTTTAATGACAGAAGCAGGCTGCAGCTCCTGGAGCTGCTGCTATCGGACAGGTAGCTGACAAGCTAGAAGTACCCATTCCCTAAACAAGTCATGTCATAATCAGATGCTGTCATTCAGAGGCTCATCTGAAGCACTATAAAGGGGATAATCAAAAGGGCACTGGAGCTAGAAAGCCTAATATTTTCAGTATCTGTGATTTGTACACATAACGCACTGGCCACACTCAGTGTTATACATAAACGCCTTGAGACTGGGATAACACAGTGAAAACTCATTTTTGAAAATACCAGGGGCTTCATAAAATCCCATTAAATGCTGATGTTAGCTTGAATTCCCTCTGACATTTTGTGTGCATTGAGGTAAAGCCAGACTAAAAACAGTTGTAGGCACCACTGAACAGACATCTTCCAGAGGAATCTGAAAGATCAAGGCAAAGAAAGCAAGATTGAATATCTACCTAGGGTCCCAGGGACTGAAAAATTCTGCATGCCTTTTAAATTAATCCTTAATTAAAATGAGTAATAATAAGAAACCAAACCCAAAACCCATGAATGATGGCAGAAAGTACTGCTGTCAGTCTGTAGAAGTAGCCTAAGCCCACAAGAGCTGGTGGGTGACAAACAGCTGTGTGCCTTGAAACCCATCTGGCTTCAAGTCAGCCAGCTCCAATGCTCCAGAGGCCTGGGTCTGCCCCAGCTCTTGCCCCAGTATTTGCACAGCACCAGCTGAGCTGCTGTGGCTCTGCATGGCTGGCAGAGAGCTGGGACGTTGCTGCCAGTGACACTCCAGTGTAAGCAGGTGCCAGCACAGCTCTGCACTGAGTTTCCAAGTCCTTTGCAGCTGTGCCCTAAAGCTTTCCACATTGTTTGTTGATTAACTGCTAATCACATTAACTGCTGATACCAGTTTACAAACCGATGCTCAGCAGCATCTTCACATGCAACGCACACCCCAGCTACAAGCAGGCATCTTTGGGTACCATTTCCCAGCTCAAGGGAGCCAAGCCTTCGCATTAGCGCTGTCATTTCTGACTTGTAATTCTCAATGTCCATAAACAATCAGGACCAACAGGATGCTGCGCTTATGAATCAGGGTCCTTTAAAATTGTCCGAAGTCCAAGGGAAGCCCCATGAGTAAGGTGTTAAATTCAAATACAACCTGAAGCTTCTTTCACTGGCAACAGTTTGTAGCTCTTATTAAATGAGAAGGCAAATTTTAATTCTCCACATCTAACTTTCAAAAATCAAAACGACATGAAAGGTACAAGTCTGTCAAGAGCACCCACATTCAACTGTTGAAAATGGCACCGAGAAGATAATTAAAGTGAGACAGATCATCTGCATGACATAATCCATTATCACACTGTTTCTTGTGCAGGAAACATAACGCTGCTGAGCTATTTTATTCCAGGCTCTGAGGAACAAAGCTGAGTTTGGGCTAAGGAGCCTGAATCTGAACATATTCCACATTCAGACACTGCTAGACTGTTAAGATGTTCAAAACCACAAATAAAATCAAGTAGCATCAACATTTTAATAGGAATACCTTTGAGTGAAAAAGATGAGCTCATCAGCCTTTCCCGAGTGCTGACAGCCATTTTACCACAGGCTGCCAAGAAGAATTAATATGTTTTTGGGTTTCACACAATGTATTTCTTTGCTGATCAATCCAGTTACAAGAGCCCACTGAATGTTGGAAGCTCTGTACACTTATCTGAGAAAGGCTGATAAACTTCTATATGTATATGGCTTTTACTTCCCCCCGGGACATTTTTCCTTGATGATATTCTGCTTCTGATTATCTGCCTACCCAAACATGCATATGCAGCAGGGGCCAGTACACAGGCAACTCTGCAGGAAGTTTACAGGAAGGGAACGAATGGTCAGTGTTTCATTGCACACTGGAAAATGTGTTCTTCTTACATCAATAAGAGAGTGCCTGCAGGGGACTTAACAGACATGCAGATCCACAGAGTGATTACCTCTCGCTGAGCTAAAGAGACGCCAACCTTAACATCTGTTTGCAGTTCCTTCTGTATTATCAAAGGCTTCTTCTGCAAACTTCATCACACAGTGTGGAAAGGATGGCTAACAAAACACACTCTGTTAGCTGAAGACACAGATCGCTGATCCTGTTATCTTAGGCAGAGGACTCTACAAAGAAACCACAGTACTTACCTTTACACAGGAGTAAATGACCGAAACAAACACCACTGTGGTCAGGATCAGGAAACAGGTCAGGTAAAATCCCAGCATAAACGTAGAGCTGAAACCAAGGAGATGTTGTGGTTTTTTTTTTTTAAATGCACACCATATGGAATAGCTACAGTTCTGCTCTTCAGAACATGACATTTGTACAAGCCAGGACAGTTAGGATAGCAGTAGGAGATACGAGGTGCCTTGAATGCCAACAGATACTCTGTCCAATTTCAAATTACTCATGCAGGCTGCAGAGCAGAGAACACCACATCTTTTACAGCAATCACCTTCCTGCCGGGGTGACAGCAGAGGGACTGAGAAGTATTTCATGTGCTAGAGGAGCTGATAGAACGATTTGTTACGGCAGGTCGGCCCCCGGTTGGCTGTGGGCAGGAGACCCCTGGGAAGGAAAGCGTGCAGAGCGCTGCAGCGCAGCCAAGCGGGAAGAGTCTCGAGGGAATAACCACTCGTCCCTGCCGTGCACGGGGAACATCTGTGCTGCACCATCCTCCGCGCCTTGCCTCGTGCGTGGGATGGGAGCAACGATGGCATAAGCAGAGTCGGGGAAAGCAGCCGTAGCCTGGTCAGCTTGAGAGGTTCCTGTTTCTCCCAACTCTGAAGTGCAAACAGGACCCCGGGGCCAACTTTGTGCTATGCATTCTCATCTGTTTTGATTTCAAAGATAGTCAACAACAATTTCTCGGCAATTGGTCTTAGTGTGACAGGATAGGCTCCCTCCCAGGAGTTAGCCTTTTTCATAATTTAAAGGAAGTATTCTTGCAACGCGGCATTGAGGCTGACCACACCAAAGCCAGCTGGTCCCTGTTTTCTCTTATGACTACTAAGATAACTGTACTTGCTAATTCACTGTTTGAGCCTTTGTGAAACTCATTAAAGCTATTCTGTGTTATCATCATAAATTATTACTGTCATTTTGTCTCTAGTTTCAGATTCAAATTCCATGTTGTGTCTCTCATGAAGCTCTGGTGGAGACAAACATACACCTGTGGTTTCAGTTGCTGCTTAACTCTTACCTTCAATAAAAGACCAAAACTATGCAGTTGAAATATAAGGAAAAACAAACCAAAAGCTGAAGGAAAGTATAACTGACCTGCAGTTAAAGCATGAAATTTATTTGCTCTTGAGCTAAATCATCTTTCAGACAGGCCAGGCTGCCTAAGGACACTTCAGAACTTACAAAAAAAATGAACGACCACCACCCTTATGGGCGGCATGGAAGGAGTCTGAGCAGCACGACATTTATACCACGCTCCCATAACAGATTGGCTCTGGCATAATACAAAGGAGTCAGCCATATGGTTGCCACAGATCAGAAACTGTCAAGTTGTCATTTAAATGTTAAACTGGGTTTTATGGAAACAGCTTAGTGGCTGCTTAGGGAGTTTGATGAACAACACAAAGGCTGGTAGAGGTGTGAAGTCACAGCAGTAACATCCAGAGTTCCAAAGTGTAAGCTCTTGCTAGAACAATTGCTCTCCAGTAACATTCTTGGACATAATTATCAATGCGTTAATTACTGGGAGGGATCTAGTTTCAATTTTGAGCCTCTTCCAGCTTTACTTCCTGTTTCCCCAAATCCATCTGTCTGTTTACACAGTGCATTTGTACTGATGTTATTTTGCTGATTCAATCTTTCTGTGAGCAGAAGTGAACATCATTTTTCCTGGGAGAGCGAATCACAGAACCCCAGGTTGGAAGGGACCTCAAGGATGACCTCAAACATCAGACTATGTGTTGTTTCTGTGACATCCCAAATATCTCATCTGAACACTACAAACCGATCTCTACTCTGGAAGGATCTGTGGTGTGAACAGAAGCAGAAAGCAGTTGTAATGGCATAAAGTAGTACTGGAGCTCTCTTTAAAGATTTTTTTATGTCTTCTTGTAATGAAGATGAACTTGAATCATTGTCAGAGCTTCTGTGATCTTGTTCTTCAGATTATAAATGAATAGCTCCAAATTTATTTCCAACATATCAGTGCTCAGTGAATGATATATTACTGCTACTAAACCAGAGCACAGGAAATACCAACACGCTTTAATCTTAAGGGATTTTTTTATGAACTCTTTGAGAAGAAATACCATGTCTGCAGAGCACACTGCTAGAAAGATCTAGTGGGTTACACTGTGCCTTTCAGACAAAGAATTTCACTGCAGAGCAGTGTGGCCCAAGAGCCCTGTGGCCCACAGCCTGGGGAAAGAAACGACTGCAACCCTTAAACCTGGAGTGAGCTACTCAAAGTTTAGGCATGTGGAGATCAACTCCCTCTCTGCCTTTCTTCTTGCACTGCTGAAGAATAAATGCATGAGAGATTATGCCTCATCTGTGAAGCAGACCCTGAGACCTCATTGCTCCACAGCAACGAGGCTGTGATGGGTTTTTCACCTCCCTGTCTCACTGTGTTCAGATACGAGGACAACCTAGCCTCATGTCGTGAGTGTGTACTATGCCTTAGTAGGCAATTCCACCTACTTAGTGATGTTTGTTTTCCACAGGCTTATAAATGTGCTGAACTGAATTTCCTAAAACAGAGGTAAATGGTAGGAGAAATCACACTGGGAAAACAGAAATCCTCACGTGCCAGTGAGGAGGTTTTAATCTGCACTAGGAATGAGTGAGAACAATAAGCACCACGCATCACTTGAGCATGAATTATTTAAGGCTTTTTATCTTCCCCTCGGTGCTGTGAATTCTCAAGAAGAAAGAACAAAGAAAAGTAGGCCAGAATAGAGAAGGGGAGCAGTTGGGAGCAAAAGGATGAAAAGGTACTCACTGTGGCACGATTATGACTTGAACAAAGCAGATGAAGAGGAAGACTAGGGAGGCACAAGCCACGTAGGCTCCGAACCTGTCATCCACCTGCTTGGAGTACTGCAAAAGATGCAGGCAGGGTTATGTTAGTGAGAAATCTGGCTGCCTGCCTTCTCTTCACAAAAAACTTCCTACTTGGCTTCCATTTAGGTCCTTGCAAAGCAGCGCTGGTAGGAAATGACTAATATTCCAAACTCCCCTTCTCCCTGGGCAAATTGTAAGGGCATGAACAGACCCAAAGGCCAGGGAACAAACCCCTACAAACCCCCACAGCTGGGTGGAGGGAGGATTTGCCATCTGCCCTTTTTTCCATGGGAAGTTTCCTCTGACAGGTTATGAATGTTGCTAATGAGAAAACCCTTGTATTTATGCAGACGGCTTGGCTCAGGCTAATGATAGTGTAAGGATGCTGCGGTTTTCACACAGTCACTCCTTCCAACTACTTGTCAACATATTGGTCACATGGGAGCTGCATCCGATTCCCAGGGATGCTTTATTTAGCTTGAAGCACAGTTCTCAGTACAGATGGTCTCAATATTTGAACCACAAAATAAAAGGTGCTCAGAACAGGTAAACTGCTAATTTCTCTAGCAATTTTCAGCTATAAAATTGAAGGAGAATGTATGGGAATAATTACGTGCTTGAGCTTTTACTGAGTCTCAAACTGAACAGCTGTAAATCCTGCTAAGGTCTGCTTTTGCAATAGGTTTTAATTCCTATCATTGAAAGACTGTTTCTAAACAAAATATAAAATAATTAGTGCAAACTTATTACTGAAGGTTTTTCCATTGAGTAATGAGTTTAACCTGAAGACCACTCAAGTATCTCAAGAACTGTGTTTGAATTTTAAAAAGACCCCGAAAAGCAACACAAAAAATTACTTTGACTTTCTTGGGGTGACTAAAAACGGCAGTTTATAGAGTATCCTTAATAATAGCACCCAGGTATCTCCGGACTTAACTGAATTTAACTTTGCAGCCATTTAGAGCCAATGTTGTCTCTATTATGTAGACAGAGAAACTGAAAAAACCTCTGCTTCACAATAGTGATACCTGAAACAAAATCAGGAAGCAATCAGGAGCCCTAGGTCTGTTACTCCCCTTTCTCACATTTGTGAGATAAACAATTTGTTGCTTAAAATGGACTTCCAAAAAATGACTAGAGTATGAATTGCATCCCAGTGAACCCTAGTAGTACACCTGGGTGACAAAGGCAGCAAAAAACCCTGCAGAGGTGATTCGGAGCTCAGGCAGGCTGAAGTGGGTTTCACCAGTGAGTTGAGGGAGATAAAAGGTGACTGCAGTCTCAGTTTGGATGTCTCAAAGTCAGAGAAATAGATCTGTCTTCTTCTGGATTCCCTTTACAGCTCATCATTACATATTCATGGGTGTCTGACAGAAATGGTTTGGTTTTCCTGCCCAGTGCTCCCTTAGATAGATGACTGCAACTTTCTAGCGACACATACATGAAGGTTTCCATGAAGAAGCATGTATTTTTTAAGATCACAACCCCACCTCCAATGCCTAAAATCTAGCTTTACCTGTCTATATAAAAGCTTGACCTTATGCAGGAGAATTAAAACTCATAACAAGTCTAACTGACACAAAGCAATGATTTTTAGACATTACCTTCTTCTCCAAGTCAGGCTCCCTGAATGTTAAGAGGAACTTGCGCACGTGCTCAGAGCGTAACCGATCGATACTTCTGGCATCGATGGCACGGCCCAGAAACTCATCCACTTCATCTTCAGGGTTCATACTTTCCTGTGTGTTCCTGAGGATGTCACAAAAAGGGAGCACAAGAGGACAAGATAATTTCCCCGTCTTCACCGTATGTTATCATGTCACTGTGTAACAAGCTGGAGGTTAACGGCAATTTGCTTATGACAGCTTCAAGTTGGAAAATGGATTATGAGCTGAGAGGAAAATGATAATGGCTCTAGAGCTCATTGCCAGTCCTGAGTCCACCAGTAAAAGGATCTGATTTACTTGCCCTTTTTGTCTATATTACATGCAGTCGTTTTCTTGCCTTGCAGTCTCTTTACTGTCCTTCATTGTCTAAACTCTGTCAGCAGTCTCCTTCCACTCATCCTCTGACTTACTCTTCCCTCCACTGCCATGCTGTCATAGCTGCCAGTGCCTGAGCTGACAACATTATTTGTGTAACTAGTCATGCTTCTTCCTTCCCAGTAATAACTTCTGTAAACATTTATGTGAAAATTTCCAAACTTGAACAATTCTCCATTTTTGAGAAAAAAATGCTCACAGAACAAACAGGTGAGGAAAAAAACTGTCCTGATACCCCACTGCCTCCCCTTCATACAGTTATTTATGAGTACAAAGCATAAACCAGAAAAAAATCTTCTGTTAACAAGACATTTATTTGACTCAAGGAAAGGTTGCGAAAGAAAAATATAGCAAAAGCAAAAAATATAAATTAGATTCTGCTTTCTAAATACGTGGAATAAGATTTCTCAGTTGCTTATAATCTTTAGTACTAGTATGTTTCTGATGCTCAGCTACAGCTTTAGAAAAATGAGGCTGATTTTCAAAAACTGTTAAAAAAAAATAACACAGAAAACTTAATTGCCCTGAGGCATTTTGCACTGAGGATCAGGAAACCTGAAGCACCTCCTGAAATCCTAGTTATTTTTAAAATCTAAGAGGATTTTAATGACTTGATGCTGTCACTTTAGTGGCCTGCTTTAAAACTAGCCATAGGCAGAAATTAAAAGATAATCCCTGTTGGTAGTAAAGTTATCCATGGGATATACCAACAGCTATCCATTGGAATATGCTCCCCCAGTTGCACTGAGGCATATTCCAGTGGATAACTATTTCTATGAGCAAACCCCATGGTGGTACAGAAACTTAAGGCTCATGTTGTGTGACCTTCACCTTAGGCTCTCCGGGGAAGAAATCCCGAGGTGTGACAAGCATGAGGAAAAGGTACACTGCTTTATTTTCTCAGGTTTATTTGTACTGCATAACAGTGCATAAGGCACACACGCTGTGTTGCGGTCAGTGGGCTGGCTCAGGTACCACTGTGCTGTAGAGCGGAGACGGTTCAAAGCAGCTTATAAACCAGAATGTGACCCTGTTTTAAAAGTTAGAAGTCCCTTTCCAAAAGAAAGGCTGCCCAAAAGGTTTCTGGAAAGCTGGACCAGATTTCAAGAAGACCTCTGTACTCCAACTCCAGCATGTACCTCTTGCTGGGAGAAAAATAAATCAGGTCGCCCTACTCATTTCCACTCCAACTCCCTTCGCCCCAGTGAGCGAGGTGAATGTGGCTATACCTCAGCTGGGTCATGATGACACACCACTGGCGTCTATTTACTAACCATACGGCAATTGCAAACCTAGTGTGTCTCAAAGTCTTTAGCCCATCTTAATATTTCAGCAGGGAAAAGAGTTTCTTTTAAAATTTATTTTTGGGCTCTAGAGTTATTTAATTCGTTGAACTTCACATACTGAACTTTGAAATTAAAAGTGGGTTTGTCTCTAGGAGGATAGGACATTTGATTTATTTCTAGAGGCTTCCTTAGAGGAAGAACCTCTCATTGAGCCTTTAAGATGCTCCTGATTTTCTCTCAGTCCTCACAATGTCTTCTGGACTCATAAAAATAAGCAAGGAAATCATTAGGCTTCATATTTACAGAATATCTTCCAAGATCCTGCGAGTTATTTACACAATTGAGTCATTCACATTTGGTCATTTCATACCACGTACAAGAGATGCAATATGTTTTCCTCTAGAACTAAAGCAAAAGAGTCAGTTCAGCACCTTGGCAAACCTCAGTTAAATTTCCAGTCTAAAAGCATCGCTCAGGAAGACATGAGGAGAAGAAGAAACTGCCTGCTCGGACTTTGGCCTTGGCTGCCTCCAGTTTTATACCAGGTCGTTATATTGCTGAGAGTATCTCCAATACAACAATAACTTCTGTGCTTGCAGATTGCGTAGAAACATCTGTGCAGGTTTTAAATTTCCTGGCTGGGATATTCGCAGTGAGGCAGCCACCTTCATGTAGTCTACACAGAAGCTTAGTCACCTTGCATATACCTAGCTGCCCAGGTGAATTTAACACCTAGTTTTACCCAAACTAAATTTCTGTACAGCAAGTTTGGGTACATTTGCATAAATATAATTTTAAATTGAAATATAAAATTTCCCTGTGCTAAGGAGTGCCCCGGAGGCAGTGCCTGTAAGTCAGAGCTGAGGTACGGCCATAGGCTAATAAAATTCATATGTGGAAATATATTGATAATATGGGAGGAGGGGGAACCCAAGGATTTCAGGTCAGTGCCAAGCCTCCAGAAACAGCCCTTAAAAGCACTGCTGAAATTTCTATAAATGCAGCCAATGGAAAAATGTTGCAAGGGACAGGAGCAACACGAACAGGGTTTGGAGCAACTTTTGCACTCTAATTGCAAATGTGAAAGCTAGCAATTAACCCAGAGATGCTGGCTTCAGAGTAATCAAAAAATATTCTGCTGATTTAATTACTCTGTGCAAATGAAGAGTGTGACCGCTGCCAAAACTACATGTGTGCTATAATTTTATATGCTTCATGCCTAGATCCAATAGCTAAATCTGCATTTAGGCATGTAAGTGATGAGTCCTGTTTTCAGAGCCATGTGATGCCTACGTCTTCCCTCGCTGTAAGAGAAAAGTATTGATGCTCAGTGTTTCTGCACATGAGGGCACTGGGCTTGACGTGGTTTAGGTATTTGACTTTAACCAGTAGCATCATGAACACTTTCTGCTAGAGATTTTTGTTTTGGCCAAATCTGTGCTCTTGAGTTGGTGCTGAAGACAAATGCAAAAAATCCTGCAATCTATGTAATAAGGTGGTGTCACACTGAATCAGCACTGTAAATACTCTGCCATTAGCTAATGACTGTAACAGCTCAAGTAGCCTTTTCAGACTATAGGATGGAGGAGGCTTCATGGTCCTTGGAGCAGTGGTGGAGAGGCTGTTCCTCACCCGCTGGGTCACTCCATTGTGGACCAACACCGAGGCAGCTGAATTTATGTTTTCTTGCACAAACTATGAGGAGAGGTGCTAGTTCATGAGGGATACTTAAAATTTCGGTATTCCTTAGAATTATTTTGTTGTAATCTGTTCGCACTTTTCTGTTCAAAGTGTATCTAACATCAGCTGAGTTCCCAGCAGCCACAAATGCAAGAAGAAACCTCAGTGACTCCCCTTAAACACCTCGTAGCATCAGTGAAGTGTCCCAGGGTGCACAGAGCTAAGTGTTACAAAAATCAGGTTTGCAGTGGGAAGAAATAATACTGAATATTGTAATCTTTAAACTTATCACTTCCCTTTACTTTTAGGGAGTCGCTCTCAAAGCTCAACCACCAAAAAGTGACTTTTCCCAAAGCTGGGTGCTTAGGGCCCACAGAAGCATTTAGTTGTCCCAGCTCATGGAGGTCTGACTGGCAGCCGGAGAAAGATGGTAAAAGAGCAAGAGCAATGTATTTTAGGCACCACTCTCCTCTGCTGTCACCTATCTTGCTCTGAGCAAGCTTAGAATTAACGCCATTCAGTAGGACTGAATGTGAAATTATTCCAAACACCTTCAGTACAGGAAACGCTTTTGTTATGTACAGCTGTAGGAGTTAAAAGAGTGAACACAGGTGGGTTTTTTCCTCCAAGAGCAATTTTTGAAAATACCACTCATGTTATTTGTTATTTTAACCATTTTTTAAAGTTCTAGATGAAAAAAAAATAAAAGCTGCTTTAATTTAGCTGTATTTTAAAGCACGAAAGTTTGAACTTATTTTTCAAATGCGGTTTCATTTCTGAGTTCATTTTTATATATAAATAATACTTAGCAATGAATAATAATATATACAAATAAGCTCAGAAACTATATATATTTTTCAATACATACCTAAATTTTTCTTATTCTAGATGGTCAACAGTTAGACTTTACAGGAAGATTTTGTTCTTGGGAAATATTCAAAGCACCAAATAGCAAAGAATATCAGGGGAAAGTGGAAGAGCAGCAAAAGCATTTTGATTACAAAAGCAAGTAAGAAGCACAGAAACGAATAAACGCTTTGAGGGCAGCAGCAGTTCTGCATGCAGATCAGTCAATCCCATGCCTGTGACTGGCTGGCCCTCCAGGAGAAACCTCTGGGGAGTCCAGGCATTTTTCTTGGCTGCTGGGCATTAATTTTTGTCTTTTTTTAATATGAGAAAAAGTTATCCCAAATGTGCAAACATAACAGTGTCTGACAGAAGTAAATTTGCTTACTTGTCCTTGGGGTCCTCAAAACCCTGAAAGAAAGGAAAAAGATACAAGAGTTAGGATACAGGCTGACTCTGAGAACACAAAGTATCCTACGAACAGCATTTCACAGAGGAGTTTTCAGAGCGCTGATCTGGTAGGTGTGGATGGATAACCTCACCCACCCACAGCAGTTCTTTGTGCTGCCCTGTCATCAGGCAGAGAGAGAGTTTTAGAAAAACCCATGCCTTCAGGTATAAATTTGTGGAAGCGAAGATCAGGGAAATGCTTCAGCTGACTGCTGGCATGCTTTATTTCACGTGCTTTCTTTTTTTTTTCAGTCACCTTTACAAATGATACAGTAGAAATAATGCTGATTTTATAACTGAGGATGTATGCCCCTTGAAATAAAATTCTGGATAACATAGGTCAACTACTGTGTTCAACATGGTTGCACCTCTTTAGGCTTGGCTAAGGGAGCTGGATGCATTTCTGTTTTCATCTCTTCCGGAGAAACCTCAAGGGATCTCCTTCCTTCTCCCCTCACTACACGCACACATGACACATTTTTCCTTGAAAAAAGATTTAATGAATTATTTATAATATATATAATAGCCAAAATGTTAACAACTCCTTCAGGGCCACCTGAACTGAGTAAGTATATGTATTTATGGGTGATTCACAGTTTAAGTGGCTAGAAGACCTCAGAGAAAAATATGCACAGAGGCATATTTTTTTAGGTTTAGCATTAACATAGCTAATGGACCAAATTGCATCAAACTGGCCACTTTGCATGGGCATAAGACAAAATCTGTCCTCAGGCTCCTTGGCTTAAATTTAACTGAAGTCAAGAAAAGTTGCATATTTGACAAGTAGGGTCAGATGCTCAGGCACAGAGTTTGTACCCTGTGTTCCAAAACATAAACCAAATGTAGCTGGGAGACAGTAAGAATTCCTTTTATTTTCCTCCCAGAGACCTCAGGCCAAAACTGCTCCAAGCACAGGAGGATGTTCCAGCTGCTGGACTTGCAGCCGCTACAAGTATGGGACCAGCAAACTGAGATCCATCCTGACTATAAAGCAATAAAAATCTTTGGGCAAAAGTCTTCCCACAGTCGCCTTGTCCAACACCATCAGAAGCAAGAACACTGACCAGATACTAAATGGGAGCAAATTTTGCCCTTGCCACTGGTTAGCAACATGGCGATATGGCGAGAGGCAGAAGTGAAGCCAACACTGTGTCCCTGAAACAGCATCAGCTTTGCATGAGGAAAAAAGTGGGGTTTGTCACTCAAGCCAACAGACAGGACCACAACTCACCAAGAACAACTTCCATTATTAAATACTCTGTTTCAGACCAAAACCACACTTCTAAATAGAAACTGCAACTCCAGCTTAATCCATCAGAAATTCAGATAAAGGAAGTCTCTCAGACCCATGTAACAACCACCAGTCGGAAGGAGGAGATAGTGGTATTGATTCAAAGTTAGCATATCCAGTTATCCAAGACAAAAAAAAAGGTACTTTTTGATTTTACATTAAAGAGTGATGAAGTGATCCTTCAACTTTTTTCTTGTGATGCTTTTTTTCTCCTTTACTTAATCATTTTACAGTTGTCAGGAATATCTGATTGATTTATTTATTTATCCTCTAAGCAATGCTACAACAAAGTGCCAAAACTGAAAGCTCACTGATTAGTCATGGAGACAAAATGCTCACTAATTTGTCTGGTGTCATAGTCAGTTAGGCTGAAAAAAAAAAGTAAATCAGCTGAACACAAATAGCTATAAGCCAAGAAATAAGGGGAGGGAACTGATGAGAAAACAACCAGTACTCGTTTATTAGATAGACATCAAGTTCACATTTTCAAGCTTAGCCACATGGGAACTGGATGACGGACTGCAGTGGCAGAGTCCTCTAAAATGGTCTGATTTTCACAGACAGCTGCGTAACCATTCCTCCTACTGAAACCCTGAAACTAAACATAGATCTCACACTCCCGTCTTCTAGGTGCACAAGTTCGAGGATACAGGCCAATCAGCTCCAGTTATCAAAACACCTCAGCAAGCATATCCTCAAAAAATTCTCCAATATTTCAAGCATGGAAAAATATAAAGGCTGCATATTTAACTGGACATGGAATTTGATTCTTTCCTGCTTCTTTGCCCCAGCAAAGCTATTTTAAGGAAAGTCTGTAAAATAATACAGAATCAATTGATCTAGCTTTTCAATTTAAAATACTAAATCGTGCTTGAAACTCTGGAAATTATTCATGCCAGTTGCTCAAATTAAATTGGTGTTTTAAAATTAAAAACTCAAAAAAGGCGTATTTCAGGTAAAGCAAAAAACTAAAAGATTAGTACATTTTCTATCCTGGATCTTCATTTAATGAGGCTATATATTTAAGGGTGACTTGAACTTTAATTAGGGAGGATCAGCTTAACATTAAATGTAGTAGGAACCTCTTTAAGTTAAGCAAATTAATTGATTCACTTTGAACATTCCCATTTCATATGAAAGATTCTTCAAGCAGAATTGCCTAAAATGGAATTGTTACGGAGAAAGGTCTGCAGGATTATTTTAGGAGAAAACCCCTCAAACACAGCTTCTTAAAAACAAGTCATTTATTACAGGAGATCTTTCTTATTTGCACTGAAAGACTGCCAGGATACAGAGCAAATATACCTCTAGGATCTGGCTTGACCAGAGATTTTCCTCCTTATCCATTAAAGCATTTGTCTCTCAATCACCTACCAAGAAGCCTTTTAAGTGGAAGAGATGATTGCACGCACAGGGTCACGCTGCTCACCCTGTTTTGAGCTGGGAGGGAAGTTTCCCCCTGGGTTTTTGTTAATGTGTTTTCACCTCCCCCTACTTCATGCCCATGCTCAGTCTGTTGAAAAATCTGCACTTACGTTATTTTCTTCCTCTTGCATGAGGTCTGGGCACTAACGACACATTGGTCTTTTATCTTGTCCACAGCTGGCAATTAGTTTAGTTTCTTTAGGACTCGGATGCTTTGCTCCAATTAAAGTCCTTTGGCTCAGCATAAGGCTGCTTGCAAGAACTGCAGTGCTCTGTGTTACACCCGCGACACACTAAGCACAATCAATCCTCCAGAAATCTGGTCTACATGGATTTGCCTTCATTCCTAAAGGCTGAATGATCTAGGATCATTCATAAAGGATCATAAAGGACATGATGTAATAGATAAATTTCCAAGCTCAAGAAGGAAAGTGAAATAATGGGGGCTGCTACTGCTGCGAGCATATCTATAAAGTCACTCTCCAGCCTTCCCGGTCTGACCTGTCTGTGCTCGCCGTGGGAGGCTGGGACCATACCCAATCTGTTGGGCTACAGAGCAGGTTTTGAGCTGCACAAAGATAGTCAAGATTGGCACTTCTGCACGTACATATACAGATATCTGAATGCCCCCCAAAAATAGCTGATAAAAATGAGGTACCTACCATTTAGGAGAGGAGTAAGGGGATAGGAAGAGAAACAGCCAATTCCTGGAGTTAAGTATATAAATCCCCTCTTGATTGCTTATGGATTTGTGCCCAGCAGACTGAGGCGGTGCCAGTGACTTTGTAGGGTGCTATAAAGAAAAGGCTGGGAATTGTCAGCAGGGACAAAAATGGCAGAAGTAGTGATGGCTACAAGAATCAGAGAGATAGGAGTTCACAGGAGTTCAAGAATAGCTCCATAATCATGATGATGAAGTAGCCCTTATTAAAGCCAAAACTCCTTTTCTCCAGAAGGGAACATAAGGCATGAGATAGGTCTTATGGCAGCGCAGTGCTAATGGACTGCTGCATATAGGACCTCATGCAATTTTTATTGAATCTCATTTTAAATATCCCCAATACTGGAGTTTTTCCCCTTACCCAGGAGACTGCATTATTCTGCAATCAGATTGCAGATGTAAAGGTAATAGCATTTAATAATTGCTCTGAGACTAAGACAGTTCTCTCTCTGACTTCAGGAATATTAACCCAAACTCAGCTCCCTTAAAGGCTCTAGTACCTACCAAAAAATAGCCCTGCTCTTTCTGCTTTTTCACATGAGATTCTTAAAAACCCATATTTTTTATGGCAGGTCAGGTGGCTCTGAATTTATACACACTTACTTTTAACGACCATCCTCAGTGGGAGTAGACATGTGCAGGAGGAAAAAAAAGGGAATGTTATATTACTGCATCTGTCCCCGAGGCTTACTATTTTACGGGGGATATTTTATGAATATCTATTGTGCTAAAAGCTCATATGACTGCCATCTCTCTGCTTGACTTCTAAATTAACTAAGCCCTTTTCTTTGAAGATTAAAACTGACTCCTTAAATAGAATGATAAAGTGATTGTCAAAGCCATGACAAGCTGACTGCTATACCATAATGCTTCAAATCAAGAACCATTAGAAGTAATAATTCTAACTTTGAGAACATTAGCTGCAATTATTAACATACTGTAAATATGCAAAGAAAAGTTAAATAGACTTCACAGCCTTTTAACTTTTCACTCCAAAAATAAGACAGTAGAGGGGCGGATGAGCTCTATGACCTTCTTAATGGCAACACGGGTGGGAAGCATGGATTCCACCTTAAAGACTTTACTGGCAACTCCAACAAAGATTGTAAGTGCAAACATGACAGAGAAACTGTTTTTTCTTGCCCTTTTTCATCTTTAGAACAACGATGAAATCGGGCTTACATGATGTTACAGCAGAAATTTAAAGAACGTTAGACGTAGGGACAAAATGAGCTTTGTAAGAGGTCGGGCCAAATTGCAAAGCAAAGGTGCTTCACGGAGACAGTAACCATGGAAAACAGAAAAGGCGAGTGACAGGCTGAGAGTGGATATAGTTAAAAACAAACTTGGTTTGGACCCACTGCAAAACTAACTATTCACATCTGTTTTCACCAATATTAACTATTCTGCCTTTCTCCCTGTGGTCAACAAGACAAGGCTGCGAAGATAGATGCTGTCAGGTGTAAAAGCAGAAACAAAATCGAAGGACTTCAAAGCACTCAAGCCAGAAATAACACAATTTCT